AAAGTGTTCATCAAAGCTGGTAAAGGTGCAGCTAGTTTGAATGACTTTGTATACTGCAGGGTAGCTTGTGAATTTACTCCAGGTGGAACTAAAGTCTGATTTAAGAGTTTATTATATTTCACATCATTCATCCCATCTGTAAAGTAACTAAAGGTAGGCCTATAAATAAATGCAGTGGAGTACAAAGTACACTATACCGATGAATTGTATTGGAGTAGAATTACAAAATAGCAAAAACATTTAAATACAGTAAAGAACAACGTCGTCAAAATTGCACATAAGTACATTACTTGAGTAAATGTCTAAGTTACATTACACACCACTGGATAGAAACTATGAATATAAATAACTCATGTACTACATTTCTTTATCTCCAAAGACCTCTGCCACAGCTTTGATTCTCATTTCCTTATTAAATACACTGGTGGATTGTTCCAGAGATATTCTATAGGGTTTTACTTATAGAGCATCTTTGTAATACCTGCCATTTTTCTGTTTGTTGGATTTTAGGTGCCTGGTCGGAAAGGTATTTCATGAGCTTTGTCCACCTCACTTTAAGACACAAAAAGACGGCTTGTAATAGGCTTTACTTCCTACATACTTCTACTACACTATACTTACTACTCACCTACTACTACTACTACTATAGGCAACTACCACTACTACTACTACTACTACTACTCAACTACTATTACTACTACTACCACTGCTAGGCGACTACCAGTGCTACTACTTAACTACCACTAATACGACTACTCTACTACCAACCACTACTACTTACTATTACTTACTGGCTACTACGACTAGGACTATCACAAACACTACTTCTACTACTATTTATCACCTCGTGTTATTCTCCTGTTTTTATTGTTTAATGTGTGCTTCTCGTATCAAATTCAGATTTTAAATAGAAAACAAACAATGGGTTTAAAAACATGATATATATCATTTAAAATATGCCCAGCTGTGTCTTTAGCTACCCAGCAGAATACAAAATAGTTGAAGTTAGCTCACCTCGTCCAAAAATATATATATTTAAACATCTGTAAGTGTATTTCAATAATACATGTATGTGTATTATTTATCTGCATTAATAGTTTATGGCTCCTATTGACATTTTCAATTCAAAGCTGAATTCACCCTTACTACTTAAAGAATGTGATCTATACTGTGTGTGTGTGTGTGTGTGTGGTGTGTGTGTGTGTGTGTGTGTGTGTGGGTGTGTGTGTGTGTGTGTGTGCGTGTGTGTGTGTGTGGGTGGTGTGTGTGTGTGTGGTGTGTGTGTGTGTGTGTGTGTGTGCTTGTGTGTGTGGTTGGGGCGTGTTACCCTCTCTGAATAGGTCTTTTATTTTGAAGTTTCTCTGAGTTGTTCTTCAGTGCTCAGCCTTGTTCTTAGTCCTCAGTCATGTCGAACATCAGCGCCCCTAACAGCAGCCTGGTCCTCGCCCTGAAGGCTGTGAAGCAGCTTCGTCTGGAGGCCAGCGTGCGTCGGATAAAGGTTTGTACACACAGCTCAACACTTCCATAAATTGAAATCAGACTTTTCCTGTAACTTAGGTACGGTGGTGGTATAGTATGTGATGAGGTCAAACAGCTGGAAAGAAAACATCTCAAAAAGTCATGTTTTTTGTACATATAGTTTTGAATGAAACTCATGACCCTCATCCTCACACTTTACTTGTAGGTCCATTATATGTGTCATAGTGCAGTGAGGGTGCAGCACAGTGACAGCTTTGTTCATTGTGCTGCTGTGTGACTGCTGTGATTGTTGGGGGGGCTTCTTATTTTAGCAACAGAAGTCAGACTACTCTCCGAGTGTGACTGTGTTACAGTAGGCGGCCAGGGAAGTACCCGCATAAATAAAAAACTGAATTGGAAAAATGTTAAGTACATTTGGAGGTGATTGAGGATGTTAAAGATCCTACAAATACCTGGGTGTTCGTCTGAACATATACTGGACTAGTCGGATCACTCTGCTGCTCTGTACAAGAAGGAACAGAGCAGAATCCATCTGCTGAGGAGACTGAGGTCTTTTGGGGTGCAGGGGGCCCTCCTGCAGACCTTCTATGACTCTGTTGTGGCATCAGCCATCTTGTATGGTGTGGCCTGCTGGGGCAGCAGCATCTCGGCTGCTGACAGGAAGAGACTGAACAGACTGGTAAAGAAGGCCAGCTCTACTTTTATCTTTAATATGTTTATACATGCTTCTTAATAAATATTAAACTATCTTTGGCTCTATACTTGCTGTAACAAATGTACATTTCCCCTCTGTGGGACGAAAAAAGGTATTCTGATTCTGATTCTGAATCCATCTCTGACATTCAGAAATGGCAGTTTTGAGTCACCTAAAACCTAAAAATGGACCCAAAATTCACCAAAATCAATCCTCCGGGAGTACAAATATGGCTGTTTTCTGGTTGAAACTGCAATTTCTTTACCCTGAAAATTCCAGAAATGTATTTACATCCTCAATAACCCCCCCAAAACCGCTCTTCAAACATGTACAAATCGACCAAGCCATTTAAAAAAATATTGTTGCATATGCTAATTGATGCAACTTGTGCTATTTGTGCAAATTGTCCAACGCTTATACAAGTTAGCATCCGGCAGTTTCTATCTATGTGCTGTGACCTATACCCAGGGATGGGCAAATGGTTGGCCCCCACCTCCTCTTTTGCGGCCTCAGATTACTTTAGAAACAAGGTAATTAATAAAAACATATATTTTTAATTGTTTACTTGTAGTACTGATACCGTCCACTAGACTCATAGTTACGTCGCGATCTGCGTACATGATTTCGTTCTGGCAGCAAATAGCGCAAAATAATCTGTGACGCGTTTGTGTGATTGTGTTTGTTTCCCGGGGGAAACACTCACAAGAAACACCGGCTGTTGTTATGCCTGCTGTGACGTTAAGTTAACCGCTTGTAATTATGCCTTTACAAGCGTCAAGTTGTATTTATCATCTGAATTTGGCGAAAACAAGTTTAATATTCTAAAAACAAGACTTTGTTTATTTGAAATCAGAATGAAAACAAACTGTCACGGACCCTGCCGTGTTATCTATGATTACTATACGCTTTTCATTCATAATTTCAGCGGGAGGGAGGGGGAGCTGCCCGCTGAGGAACAGCCAGAGTGCGGGTTGACAGGTGTCTGTGTTGACATTCCCCTTATTGTTGCGTCAGTTGTCTTAGGTTCACGTTAGACAACTAATGTCTGGGTAGTGTTCATGACTTCATGTTATGTCATCTTAATGGTTAATCTTAATGCACACACACTTCCGTGCTTTCAATAGTTAAAAATAGTTGTATTCCACTCATGGCGTAGGAAGCATCCTGAATGTGGGGGGGGGATTTTTTAACGGGGGGTGAAAAAATATATAGATTTCCTGTATTCTGGTGCATTTTAACAGGTGGTTTTGATACTTTTATGTGGCTATACTAGCATGAGGAAAATGATGGGTACATTGTTGTAATTTCATCCAGTAGTACAGAAAGGAAACATATTTGATTATTAATTCAGAGCTGTCTTTGAATTAATAAAAAGCAGTTTTAAATGCCCATTTTTTGTACATTTATATACAACAATAAATATTGTGAGTGCATTGAGAGATATTGTTGTGGAGAGTCATTTATATATAAATCGCAAAATACATTTGTGAATCCTTCTGTGAGCATTTATTAATATTGAACTGATCTGACTCCATACGGATGTTAAGTTCACCTAGGAATGGTATCATTGACTTAAATGTTCAAATAAATGTTGCTCTTCTGTCTATATTGGTCATATGATGCCCCTTGACTGAAATGTTTCCTGTTCAATATCCCCACTGATTTCCTTAAAATCCTGGGATGAGAGTCCACATCACAATTTACTCTCAACTGTCATTTCCCTTTCATCACTCACCTCAGCAATGGACCTCTCTCCACTGTCCCTGTATTCTGCCTCTGACTCACTCTCAAGCGCCTAGATGTCAAGAGAGGTGGTGGAAGTGATAATTATTTATTGAGCAGTATACTCTTTCACATTGAATCATAACAAGTCATACTGAATGTAAATACAACTGACTCTAAAGTAAGTCCCAGTCTGTGACATTGGACATTTTGAAGACTCAAAGTCCCAAGCAGTAGGTAGAATATTAGCTAGTCTATGTAATGTGCACAGAAAGTAAATAGTTAACTGAATACTGGGATGGAAATAGCCTATAAGCACTCAGTAAAACATAAACACACACAAAAAGCTTCTGAATGATAAGAAGTATAATTAAAACATAATGCACATTACCATTTTGAGAGAGAGTACCTAAGTTAAAGAACTCAGAAAATAATCTCTTATCGAACTGAGGCTCCAGTAAACCACACTGACTGTGTCTCTACATGGACATCAGTAAGCCGTTTATGGAGTATTATCCCGGTTATGATCATATTGGGGATATGGTGTTTACATGAGCACAGAGAGATCGGGTTATTCATGTTCCCTGTTTACATGATAAATACTAGTAACCTGGCATTTCGATGCCTTTTCTCATCTAAACTATTCAGTATTTGTATCTCTCTATCATGACATAAAGACGAAACTCCTCTCCAGAAGTGAGACGCCGCCATCACTGTTAACTGATTAACTGCTACCAGCTGATGACTTACTTTCCTCTTCTTTGAAAAAAATGTTCTTATGTCCATGTTGTCTGGGGGAGAAAACATATCAAACTAAGAGATCGTCAGCTTTGATTTTCGCTGTATTAACCATTTCCTGAACATTTGGTGTGTGTGCCTTACCTCCGCTACCGGCATCGCTTCATACAACAGATCTGAGCTGTACAACTATGACAACACTCCTTGAACATGCGCACGCTATGTGAGAATCTGCCTTGGTACAAAGTAGCAGTGAAAACATGGTACGGAGTTTCATTGATTTGGGCATTCTCCATAGACTGTATATATAAATGGACGTAGGGTCCGTGACGTCACCCATAGGATTCTGCAGAGTTGCCGAGAAGCCCTTAGTAGGCGGAGTCGGCCACTAACGGCTCGACAGTGGCGTCAGAGTCTAACTCCCGCCTGCTACATCCTGATCCAAATAAGGGCAAAGAGGCGGAGCCGTGGCGGAGACGAGGCGGGACAGGGCGGGACCTTCTGCCAACGGCCGTCAAGTTCCAGACCTAGCTCAGGCTAAGAAGCTAAGCTAACATGCTCACAGTATTAAAGCTCCTATGTCATGCTTTTCCGGTTATTACCCGTCCCCTTGTGTGTTATGAAGGTTTTTATGCATGTAAACGGTGTGCAGAGTCAAAACCCTCAAAGTACACCCTGTAGCGAGTAAAACTCTAACACAGAAAATACCTCCCCAAAACGCCTCGTTGGAGATACGTCACTGCCCATTTGATTCTTCCGGGTACCGCCTGATGTCATGCGGTACCCGGAACGAAATGGACCAATCCCGAAGAGCTATGGCCACACCAGCAGCGGCGTGTTCCTCCTCCAGAGGTTCGATGAACCGGCATTTCACAGACGAAAGCTTCCAAAAACATTGCCCAGTTTGAGGCCGGATATGCACAGCTTGTTTGGACCGTTTGGAGCAGGGGAAGATCTGGGTATACAACCTGTAAGTTTGCATTGTTATTTGTGTATTTATCAAACAAGACTGTTTAAATGTGTAAACTGTGTTGGACTGCTAAGCCATTGACACAGTGCTAACTGTGCTAACTAAGTTGCTAGAGTTTCCATATATCAACTCTAATATCAGCAGATGGCCTTGCATACATGTATCTCATAGCAGGAGAATGTCTGCATTCACACACAAAATACCTATTGACAGTATACTGCGGGTGATTTGCCGGTCAGTCGCGAAACGTAATTACATTATAGCTGGCGTAGCGATCTAACACACGGAGCTTGAGCTAGTTTTGGTCAGAAAAACATTTTTGTGATGCTACGTTGCTAGCGTTTAAATATATCAACTACAATGTCAGCAGATGGCCTTACATGTTTGTCATGGCAGGAGAATGTCTGCAGTCACACACACGGAATACTCATACAGTATACTGTACTGTGATTTACCGGTACATTGTGACCGTACATATACTGCATGTAGCTAACGAGGCTAGCTGTATGCTAGCGCAAAACAATGTATTCATGCAAGTTACATTGTATGACCGAACGTAGCAGAATACCCGTATACGATTGCAATTATAAACACGTTATTGCTAGCCTAATATGAACCACTAGCTTTTGTTCATAGTAGTTTTATTACACTGCATTATAGTTGCCTTTCCTCCAAGCTAACGTTCATATCGTGTTAGCTACCAAGGTAAACAAAGCTAGGTTAGCATATTAGCAGGCAAGCTGTTCATTACACAACTACTACTAACGAATCTAAAACAACTAAGTTTCTCTAATATTTTGTGATTTGCATTTGATTTCGTCCAGCCAGATCCTGGCGGACAATCCATGACGGGGAAGGGATTCTACTACTACTGAGGCGTCGTGCTAAAAGGCACCGCACCGCACCGGCTGTGCGCAGGCAAGAGGAGGAGGAATGGATGATATACCGTGTATATATGTATATTTATGTTCATTTTGTACATTTCTAAAAATAAAGTTTAATGGAAATACTTAGTAGGCCTATCCTTTCTTCCCTGAATTCATATATAGCAAACCATGATTTGATTTCTCATCAAACAGTAGTAGTTTATAACGGGTAAAAATAACTTACTCTTTGTTATGAGCGGCTCGTAGGCCACAACGGAAAGACAAGGAGACATACACGAGTTTACAAAACCACGGCACATTTATTGTGGTAAATGCAAAGATAGGTGGTTGAGAGGATCGCAGAGTTAGTCTTCCTGCAGCCGCTTTGGAGAGAGACTGGGGCCGTAGTGTCCGGAGGTGTCCGTGATCGTGCTGATTAGCTTCTTCAGCTCCACCCCATCGTAAGACAAAGGCCCTGGGGCCGTCACACTCTTCTATAACAACAGTTAAAAATATATATGTATATAAAATATACCGCTGTACCGACGCCATGATAAGACTGATGTTACGCTGAGAGCAGCCGGGAAAAGCACTGACATGGGCGCAGCCTCTCTGGTGGTTGACTAATCAGAACGAGTGGCCGAGCTGACCAATCGGAGCACACTAGGCTCACAGGGAGGGGGGGGCAAGAGCTCCAACGAGTCGTTTAGTGGAGAAAGTGAATACTGCTGAATACACATGCTTGACAGAGATGCTGTATGCGAAACCAATGTGAGTTTGGAAAATTGCACAGTATAAATCTATTTTAGTATACCTCAACAATGTAATTATGATCAGTGGAAATGGCCATGACATGGGCCCTTTAAGCTAACAACCCAGCTTGCGGTCACTGCTCCTCGTTCCCGGCGTTCTGAAGGTAAGATCCCCTGTAACTTTACCAAATTTGTCCTTTTGATTTAAATGTTCTTGAACCTACACTATACAATTGTTTTTTAAGTGCTTCACCGTTTTTCAAATATAAATGTCATTTGTAACAACTTTGTAAACTAGCAGAGATATGGCCAGTGTTGCGTGAATTATCCTATGGAATTAGCCATAAACTGTGGCCTATACAGTATGTAAAGGAATTAGCGTATTGTGAATTAAACAAAGCTTTTCCCTATGATTTAACTGTTCTTGATATTACACTATACAAGTTTAAAAACGCTTCTCCATGATTCAAATATAAACAGTGTAATATGCATGGGCTAACAAATGCAAAATTTGCATATTTATACTTTTTGACCATCAATTGTATATACATTTAATCCAACGTTACTGTTTCAACAGCGCTGTGAGAGTATAAATTAAATATGACTGTAGAAAAAGAAAGGCACTTTTATATTGATTAAACCATTTTTATTTCTTTCAGCATTAAGAAAAAAAGATGGCAACCTCCTCCACAACCTGTAAGTTGATGGTCCTGGCTTACTTTACATGACTTCAGATGGTTGACATTACACACAAACATACTATATCTATATACATATATATATATATATATATATATATATATATATATATATATATACGTCAGGTGTGATTTGATATGTTATGTTGTATGTTATTGTCAAAGGAACAACATGAGCAACCCTTTATACTTAATTTGATATTCCTCATTATCTGAAGCATTTGTTACTCTCATTTATTTTCCTCCCATAGTGACTGTATGGATAATCGGAGACAGCTATGTCCGGCGTGGAGCCCAGAGAGCTACAGAGACCATCGGCAGCAACCTTGGCCTCGACCTTCGCGCCTGCTGGTTCGGTTGGGGTGGACTGCGCGGGAGAGGTCTCCTCCCCTTCTTTTCCAACTCCCTGCGAGGAAGAGCAGCCCCGGATGTCCTCCTCATCCACTGTGGCGGCAACGACTTGGGGGAGGTGCCCAGTGTTCACTTGGTGAATCAGATGAAGGAGGACCTGCACCAGCTTCACCATCGGCACCCTGGCATGAAGATCATGCTCTCCCAGATCAACCAGAGGTGCCGATGGAGGGCTGGTGCAAATCCTGTCAAAATTGACAAGGCCCGGAAGTTTGTTAACAGTGTTATGGCTACTTTTGTTCATAGCCTAAATGGTGCCATTGTTGACCACTCCAACATTAGACATGACAGTCCTGGGCTTTTTTTGCGAGATAGAGTTCATTTCACCCCTAGGGGAAATGATATTTTTTTAAAGTCACTAGCCAATTGCCTGAAAGACCATCTCCAAGACTGTGAACTGCTAAAATGTCAGTATCACTGTTTTTGGATTTGGCCTTTAGAGTATGTTTTCTAAGGCCCTTGCTAAGCCCAGACTGTCATGGCTAATGTTGAGTTAGATATTACATCTGTAGCCATAACACTGTTAACATGGCTGCTCTTCCTCTTCCCCACATCCCACCCCCCCCTCTTCCCCCCAATGGACTCTGTAGCTCTCCAGGCCCATGCTGGGCATGGCTGTCTGTCAAACTTTTTTTTTTAATTTGTTATTATGTTTTTTGTTATTTTATTTGTTAAGATAATTCTGTAAATATTTAAAATAAATCACATTCATATTTTCACTTCTTTTGTCTACTGCTTACTGAAAATGTTAGCTATCACATCCAAATCTGACTATCAAATGAAAGGATAAGCTAACCATACAATACAGAAAACATTACACATTAAGGCTCAAATCTTTTCCCAAGCCGTAGCAGTCTGAAAAGAGTCCCAAGTTTAAAAACACAAAATCTTGACAATGAATACTACCTTGTCATTTATCAGTGACAATGCAAACACCAAGAAGGTCTCCCCTAATCCCATGTATTTTGGCATCAAATATGTCATAAGCATACCATAGAATGTAATTATGAAATGCAATACCCACAATCCCTACAGGGTCGTAACATCACAGAAAATAATACCTTTTAGAGAGTTTCTAAATTGTTCAGTATGCAGATAATTATTTGTTTTACAATAGAAACATTTTTCTCAATAAATGTTCCCACATGTTGTGAGCATCAACTTTAAATCTTTTGTCAACAAATAAAAAACATCTTAATTTCCTTTACGACAACATTTTGTTTATAACACCACTACATTAACAATAAGCATAGGAAAATTATAAATGTATAATTTAAGATTGTGCTTTTACTCTATATTTAATCCGATCTATTTCACATTGAAAATGTACGACTTAAGTACACTAGAAAATAAATGAAAGATGTGCAACAACTGTATCAGTAATTAAAATGATATAACTTATGTACAGGGTTGGGAGGGCTACTTGCCAAAAACGCAACCAGTAACTTAATGTGAGTATCAAGATATAAAAGTACTGTAACCTGATAACTTTATTTTTCTTTTGGATTACCTCAATATCAAATGCAATGCAAATAAACACAGGAGAGAAGAAATATTAATATGATTTTTTTACTTAAATGTATAATATACATAAAGATGACTCAGGCAGTAGGTGTATAGATTCACAATTAAAGTATTAGCCTACAGAACAGAGAAGAGAGAACATCTGATCATTTTACAACAAACACTATATGCTCTTTTCAGGTTTTGAATAAGATTGTAATCCTGAGTTTCCCTATTATTAAAAAAAGTCAAACTAATCCGATTACATCTTTCCTATGTAACTAAGGATTACACTTTCCTTTTTTTCTATACGATCTTGATTCGTGTTGGATGTAATCCATTACTACCTAAGCCAATAAAAGTCATAATTTTTGGAAAATTGTCTCAAGTTATAAATTATGCCTTCAATCTCTTTCACGTGGGGAAGACATCACATTGGCCGAGGCGTTGCAACTTCCCTCAAGCGTCCTACATGAAAGAAAGATCACATGTTAAAAATGTGTGCACAGACTATTCAGTATGACCCGTCTTAGTTTAAAGCCCACTCACCACGACAAGGTGTAGGTCAGGGGGGGATGGGCACATAATGGGGGGGAACACATCTTGTGTGTGTGTGTGTGTGTGTGTGTGTGTGTGTGTGTGTGTGTGTGTGTGTGTGTGTGTGAGAGACAGACAGCTAAACTAAGATGGAGGAAATTGCAGAGGGACAGGGAGGGAGGTGTTACAAAGTTGACTAAATCATCCAAAATTCAATGAAAGTGGTGATCAGCAATTTTATATGTTCAAATGTCTACTGTGAAGGATATCATAAATCCTTAATGCAATCGAATGTAAAACAAAAAAGTTATGATTGATGAAAGTAGTCAATCGGTCAGATTTGACCCGAAGACAACAGGAGGGTTAATGCCATATTCACTTAATAACACATGAACAACTTTTACAAATATTTCTATATAGTCTGTGTTGGTAAATGTCATCTAGGTTGCACATTTCCTGCTGAAATACATGCATACCAAGTTACTGCGTGGCACTTTGGTTTTGATAAAACAGTGTAGTTCCACTATATAAACGTTACATTCATAATCAAACGAGACAATCTGCAAGATAATGAGCTATTTGTTGTTATTTTTAATGCTTGTCATTCACACGTTAATAAAATAAAATAAGTACCGATACATAGCAGAACAATTGTGGCGATGTTCAGCTTAATAAGCCTTGTTCAACATAATTTATTTAGCTAATACTACAGCGGGCTGCAGGCGAACCAAGTCTGCGTTTCGCTGCATTCCTTGATCTCCAGTTATAATGCCGGACTCCGCCGCCGGCCGAAGCTAACGGAGCAGCCGGGACGCGCTAGCGAGCTAGCCCCCTGCGGCTCCGTTAGCTTCGGCCGGCGTCGGAGTCGGAGTCCGATAATTGGGTCCCCTTTTAACATTTGCTCCCGTTTAGCATTATGGGCGTCACAGCCATATACTATAAAAGGCTGAATCATAAACTAAACTGTATATATATATACACATGTATAAAGGGTTACGTCCTTAGCTGGCTAATAAGCTACATAATAAGCTACATAACAAGCTAAGCTAACAAGCACACAAACACCTGCTAACGGGATTAACATGTATAATATTATCATTTTACTCACCGAAAAAAGCTGAGAGTAGACTTCTTGGAAGGTCTGTTAGTACATTCAAGCGCACAGCACGACATTTTAATTGTCTGGTATTTGTAACAATATTCCCTAAAAGGCACAATCACCACGAACACGGCTAAAGGGTCAAGTACAGCAACTACAACTAACTAACGTTGTAGCCTAGCAGAGTGGACAAGTTGCTGTTAGCTGACAGTGACGCACGTACCTGTCCATCAAAGTGACCACGCCCTAATTTATGCAAAAACTTTAAGACCTAATATAAATAAAAGGGTCACGTTAGAAAACAATTCACTCACAGATTCATAATCACGAAGGTGGAATCTAACTATATACATAATAAAATGTATTGGAGCCAGGGCTAGAAACGTTTTTTTTCTGCTGTGAAATTGGGCATTTTAACATTGGGGTCTATGGAAATTGCTCCTTTCTGCAGTCATCGCCTATCAGCCAATATATGAACTGCAGTTTGTGGCACTTCCGTATTGGCGTCCCGGCTCTTCCCCAGAGTTTGCCGCTTGGCATTCTCTCAATAAGCAAGTGGAATGGATTTCATTTGATAGTGAAGCACTGACACAGCGCTCTACAAAGTGCGGCGAGTGGATAGACCGATTCACGGACTTTCCGCATAGTAAAAGTGGGGGGGTCTAAACTAATCATTTGAAAAAGTGGGGGGGACTTGTCCCACCCTCATATAATGGCTGCGACGCCCATGATTCCACTGTTAAATAGTGGGCTCGGGTTTCGAACCCACCTACTAGCTACTGTAGTGGCCAAGGAGTCAACATTGGGGGGGACCAAAAATTCAATCAAAATTTGAATACTAATTTCCTGCTATTCTAAAGGAAAATATATAAAAATTCACTAACACATGGGATACTTTAAAACCTGTCAAACCCCATGTCAAAAAACAACAATATTCACAAAACTGTGTCTCAGGCATGGGCGTAGGAAGCATCCTCAATGTGGGTGGGACAATTTGAAGGGGGGTGTGGGCAGCTGGTAGTCCTAACCTCCTCTAGGGGGGTCCGGGGGCATGCTCCCCTGGGAAGATTTTTTTTTTAAATGTTGAAGTTAAATGCATCAATCTGGTGCACTTCGAGAGCAAAATTAGGGACTAAATCTATGGATACAACTCTCAACACCCGTATGAAACAGAACTGTAAACAGATTTACTTTTTCTTTATGCATATTTTACAAATCACTCCCCTAGCTACTATTCCTGAAAAGTTCGGTTTTAACATCAGAACTACAAGTTATTTACACAAAGAAGCTAAACCGGAGGGTTCATTAACATTACCATTACGAAATAAAATAATATAGATTACTTTAGGGCTAACTAGAAAAAGATACCAGAACTGACAAATTAAAACATGACTTGGAGCATCAATGCTAACTGAAGCTGGACTCGGACGTGCGACAGCGAAATACACCCCCCGGGTTACAAAATAAAGGTATGCATAAACAAACAAAGGCGGAACAATTTACATATGAAAAGAATATATCATTTTGGTGAAGTTCACAATAACAGAAAATAAAGATTTTCAAGTATACAAATAGCCAAAATAAAAAAGTAATGAATAGCCATTTTATTTTAATTTTTTTATATCAGTTAGGCTATATATTGGGGGGGACATTTTGAGCGTATCTGAATATTGGGGGGGATGTCCCCCCCCCAATGTATATGGTGAATTCGGCCCTGGTAGTGACAACTCCTGTAATTTATTGCATCTCTGCTTGAATGATTAGATAATTTCACCTAAATTAAATCAGATTAAATGATGTTGATGGTTAAATTAGCTTCACATGTAGGCCTACTGAGTTCTGAACTTGCCATTTAGATCTATAAAGGCCTTGGGGCTATGTTGTTTGATTTAATTAAATACAATATATGCACTCCACTATGCTGTTGTAGTATTTACTGTATCTGAAGCTCTTAATATGATTGCTCATATTTCAAGCCATCTTTTTCCCGGCCCCTTGCTTTGGGTCATTTTCATCAACCGGCCCCCATTCCAAACTAATTGAATAGCCCTGACTTAGACTAAAGTTAACTATCTAAATACTCAGAGAGTCCTTTAGCTCACCTGAGCCTCTCAGTCTGTCAGGAGAGGACTCTCCTCCGGCTTGTTGTGGAACAAACAGCTCCTTATGTCCGTTAGTGCAGCTAGCTAACCAGATGCTAACAACACGGTCCCTGCTGGCACCGGTGCTTGCCTCTGTTGCATTCACTGAACACGGGAAATTACAATCCTGCCGTCCTAGTGTCATGATGAGGTTCAGGTAAAGCACGGTTAATGTATTATATTATTGAGGGAGAATTGTCCGGGGCTACAGAAAAAACATTCGGGGCTGCCCAGGCCAGGCGACGCCACTGGCGTCACCGCTGCTAAGCTAAAGGCGGCTAATGTTCGATATAATGGCGTTCAGTAGTCTCATTTAGTCACTTGTTAGCAACCACTGTTTTGTGACATATAGTAGAAGCTTCAGACATTCACCAGTGGGTGAACTGACGTATTTTATGTCGTAGAACAGCGGTTTTCAAAGTGTGAGGCGCGCCTCCCCGGGGGGGCGCCAGAGAGCTTCAGGGGAGGCGCAGTGTGAGAAAAAAATAACGAGAATTTCAGCTAGTTAAAGGTGGGGTAGGTAATTTTGGAGAAACCAGCTCGAGATCGCTAGAATTTGAAAATACACAGCCGGAAAAATCTGCCACTTCCTTATAGAGCCCCTCCTCCAACACACACGAACGCGCACATGACCAATGAGGGCACGAGATAAGTTTGTGCACAGATGGAAGGCCGGCCGGCTAAAATGATTGGTCTTGCTTTTTACAGTACTACGACTTCCACAGATGACATTTTTGTATGGATTTTTTGTCAAAGCACTTAAAATATTCATTGCTATCGGGATGTTAAGAGCATTCCATGGAATATAACAAAAAGTGTATCTCGAGCCGGTTTCTCAAACTTACCTACCCCACCTTTAACTTCAGCTAACTTTATGCGAGCGGCAACATGGATCGATTTTTAGTGAAGTTACCTAAAGTGAGAGAGGAGACAGCGTCACTTGCACACTTTTGGCTGTCTGTGGAGACCGAGTTCCCCCACCTCGCCAAAAAGGCTGTAAAAGTGCTCATTCCCTTCACCTCCGCCTACCTGTGTGAGTGCGGGTTTTCCGCATTGACTTTGATCAAAAGCAAGTAGGCCTACCGGTCAAGCAGGAGCGGATCTACCGGGGTGGCAACTGCCACCCTAAAAATAGCCTTGCCACCCCAGCTGCCACCCCAGTTGGCAGCTTTGTTTTGAAATAAAAGTTGTGGCTCATCGGACAATAATGAGAGAAAATCCCTAATGTCCGAGTGCAAGTGAATGCAGCACAAGACGCAAGTCTTGTAACCCCTCCCCCGGCCCTGGCGCGAGCGTGGAAATGTGATTGGCGGCGATTTCATTTCATAGAGCCTAATTAAGCACCGGTTCTTCCTGTTTCCAACTCAGCAGAGCTGGCTCTTGGCCCCGAAAACCGGTTCTTATCTGGCCCCACAAGTAAATAGATAGATGAGATGGCTAGTGTGAAAAGGGGGTTGAGTTGTAATTGGGATCGTAGGACATTTTACCAGAGGAACAAGGATTTTGGAGGATTGCTCTGTTGTCTCAGATCCATGTGGCCGAAATACATTTCCCTAAATATGGCATCAGAGAAAGAACTACCACAAAGAAAAGTACATCTCTCGTTAAATGCCTGTGAAATATTTCAACGTCTGCAGTTTGTTAACAATATGTGTGTGACATGAATTTGTATAGACATGCACAGGTGAATTTCTATGTACTGTATGTGTGTACGTTTGTGTTCTTTTCACACATTTTATGTTTATTTTAATTCCAGAGTACAAGGCAATAATTGATGGACAACAATCAGCCACATTTGATAATATTATACTTTAGCAAACTCTAAGAAAGTGATTCACAATTGTCCATGGTGAAACACGGTTTTTCTTATGTGCCTTTCCCGTGGTGTTTTACCTTCCCATTCAAACAGTAACAGTTGGACAGTGTCAATTTGTTACTATGGAAACAGAATGATGAGATGACCTGTTTCCAACTGTTTGGTTGTCCAGTACTTTAGCTGTGTTAATTAATGACAAAGACGTTGTGTAGGCCTGGTCAAAGATAGGAGTTTCCGTCTCTCTTTCCTCACAACTTCTACAACTATAACTCAGAGTCTCAGACAACCCTGGGCTGCACCAACAGGGCGTAAACAAAGTGGTTGAGTGGACTGAGACTAACACAAAGAAAACAGAGGACATTTTTTGGCTCACCATCTGACTCTTATATCCCCCATTGTCTTCCATATACAGATCAAGCAGGTACTTACATATACATACTTGTTTTAAAGATATTCTCTCCTGGAAAGCCCACAACGAATGTATCTGTAAAAGAGCTCCTCGCTCTGCCTTAGGTGTTTTGGTGCGTGGAGACAAATTCTTCTTCTGTTTTTTACATCTTTGATTTGTTCTACAGTATTTCAATACTACATGGTACAAGTGTTTGTCCACTCCTTTAGAGTCAAAACCTTAACAAAAGCAGCTCTACCATTAAAAATCTGCTCAAAGATTGTTGGTCAACGTTTGAGAAACTCTAAGATCAGCCTACCATAATAACATATTAACATTGTCTCCGACCCCAACCATGTCCTGAACAGAGAATATGAATTGTTGAGTATCAAATCATAGATAAAGGGTTTTTATAGGTTTAGGCATGAGCGCTCTTCATTGCACCAGAGTATCACTAAATTAAATACAGAGTTAATCCCAGCTCAAATATACATTAAAGAGGCCGTTTTTGCTTTTAGGGGAATTCCCTTGTTACATAGGTATGTAAACGCCTCCATTGGACTCCTTTGGTTACTTCCAGAACATAGTGACATCACTAAGTAACACTTGCGCTTCTATTGGCTAGTGCTTCAACAAATCGTACGTGATAGGCTAAGGGGCAGGACACCTCTAAGCAGTTGATCAATCCCAACAGAGCCGGCCAGCTAACCAATCAGAGCAGACTGGGCTCTGGTTTCAGACAGAGGGTGAAAAGAGGTGCTGCAGCACAGGCAGTATGAGAAACATAAAGAGCTTTTTGAACATTAAAGCATGGAGACATGTCCCAGTAGAGACACTACATACTGATATGAACCTGAAAATGAGCACAATTTAAATGGTTTCAAATGGAGCTGCTGCAAGAACATTTTCCGACTTCATCCGACCAGAAAGTAGTTTCATGATGTATCAAAACTAAATATAAAAATATTGATTATACCCAGGTGTAGTCTGTTTTTTGGATTAAGTAACAGTGCTAATTTAAAACATATTAATCATATGACTGAACAGTAAATGTTGTGATGCGGGGTCTTCAGGTTTCTCAGGCGGCTGCAGAACTGAAGACCTTCTGCCTGCAGAATGCCCACAAAGACCCCCTCCTCACCGGGGTGCCCTCCAGTGATAACCCCTTCAGGCCCCCCAAGTCATGCATCCTCCTCTGACACGTGAGTGGAGCTCTTTTTCATCTCTTAAGATCATCCAGAAAAAACATTTTATTTTCCTTTTTATTGTAACTCGTAACATTTCTGAACAATGACCCTGCTGTGTTTTGGAGCACAAGACTCCTCCCCTACAGTTAAAAGTGTTTCTTCTCTTTTTTAAAGCTGTGAAAAACAAACGCCTGATCTCTGTGGATTTCTGTCATGTGCCCCGATGCCTCTGGAGAAAAGGAAGCCAAGAACAAACACACACACCAAACACAAAAGTGGGTAGTTTATATCAGACTGCATTGAATTTTCCGATTTAAAGTTCGAAAAATTCATAATGCAAAAGGTTTTTATTTACCAACAGCTCTTTTAAATAAATGTTGATTCCTGTAATATATTTTGGAGACACAGGAGCCTCTAAATGCCATTTTGTGCACGCTAGGCAAAAACGATCTATAAAGCAGAATAAACTCTTGAAAAAAAGAGGAAGGAAAGCTGACAAACTGTTATACATGGATGGGAAGTTGTATTATTCACCATTAAAAGCCACATGTTTGTTTTTGTCCTCTGTCTTTGAAGCTGTGTCTTGCATCATTTTTACATCTTCATTTTTTTAAACAATATTACCTAAACCAATCTTTGCTTTTAATGCAAATTATTATTATTTTCTGCTAAAATAAGATCACATAAATCGTGTTTTTAGTTATGGTTGCAAGACTTTTCACAACGACACACTGGCCTGTGTTCAAAACATAAACTGGAATAGAGCATACAATTTATATAAATTACCGTGAAAGGAGTAGAAAGAGAGTCCCTTGATATATTTAAATGCACATATTGCATAATTAAATAATCAACACATGTTTTTAATGATAATAACTTACATTAAAGGCTTCTCAATTCTCTAATTTCCCCTCCTTGACTCCTCGACTCCTCGGTCCTCCGGTAGTGACCCGGAAATGTATTTCAGCGCGCCATGTTGAAGGACATCTCATTTCTCTAAATGCACATCGAGGACCGAGCATCGAGGAGGCTCTCTGGAGGAGCTATAACCGAGGATACACTGATGGTTCCTCCACGGCTCCTCCGTGGATATATTTCCGGCAACAGTGATGTTTCAAAGAGTCGTGACGCACGGCCGGACTTATCTCAGCCAATGACAGCTCTGCATGCATCCCCTTCCCCTGGATATTATTTTATTAACTGCTTTCATCGCGACCCGATGAAAGCAGTGAGAACAGCTGTGAGGTCCGTGCAGAAAGCAGAGCAGTGTGTATAATATATATCACTCAGTATAACAGGCCTACATTACTCTCTGTATTTGTATGCTTTAGTTTAGTAGATATCTACAAACAAAGAGTCGATATTTTTCTAAAACCATTTAGTGCTTCACATAATAAAATACACAACGGCTGTATCCTATATGCATTAGGAGCTGTAGGTGCGTGTTGTACAGTGTTGTACAGTGCGTAGATGCGGCGGACAGACAGGTCTCAGTTGGTTTGGTGTCCTTACTTTTAATACTTGTAAATAAAACCTTTGGCCCGTAATTTCAATTCTCCATTTCAGCGACCAGAGAGGGGGGGGGGGGGGGATATATCCAGGCCATCTGTAGAATCTGGAGAACCACAGAACGGCCGGCCCTTTAAAAAATAATTGTTTAACGTCATCATTTAAGTTGCGCTGACGGCCGACAGAGGGCGACAGCGGCCGCTAATGCAGTTGTGTGGTTCTTATCTGTCAAATAATCACACACGAAGAAGAAAAAAGACCGGCCACGCGAAGGGTGTTTCTCAATGTCGAGTAAAGCTGCTCCAGAGCCACTATTTCAAGCATACTACGTCATCGAGTGCCGCCGAAGTACTGTTCCAATGTCCAGCATACTTGGAATTCTACCGAGCCCGGCGTACTTCGTTTGGAGAAATTTCGAGGCTGCACATGTGTAGACTCCGCGGTCTTAAAATCCCCACAATGCTTTGCGCACGGACCAATTTCCCCAAATCTGTGGCGGAAAATGTAAGGCGGGGCCGCTCATATGACGCACACATGCACACTTGCTCGCCTGTTCCACACTTCGTTTTCCGAATGCCAGGCAGTATTCTTGCCTCGCTTCTGAAGCAAGTGACTCGGAAGACATGTGCTACCAAGCAAGCGTACTCGACATAGAGAACCACAGTGACGCATCCTAAAACCCGGAAGTAAACTCCTTCCGGTTCCTTCGTCAAAAACGCAATGCAATTTCTCCATAGGATTTTGGAAAATAGCTCGAAATAAGGTCTGTGGTTGACACACATTTAAGAGATGGATCACGTTTTGTTCAGCCGGATAATATCCACATGTCTACCCTACTTTTATGATTTTCTAATCATAAATCTAGTCGCCAGAAGCAAAATGCTAACGTTATGCTATAAACGAACTACAGCAGGGTCGCTTCTTCAACGTCAAGCCAACTTAAGATCCATATTCAAACATACAGATTCTAAATGGTACAAGTTGAAGCGTTTGTTTGAACAGTTTGCAGGAGGCAGGTACTTGCTTTCAAGCAGAACAGGGCAAACAAACTTAGCGGGAGTGTTTTACGTGTTTGGTGTAATGATGTAAAATGGCCTGGACAACTTCTGTAGTCCTATTCAGCCACATGTTAACAACCATCGTTTTTCAGACACGTACACTCTTCAAAAATCACCAGCGGGGTCACTGCTGATGTATTTAATGTCGTAGAACAAAAACGTGATCTGTCTCTTCAATTTGTGTCAACCACAGACCTTATTTCGAGCTATTTTCCAAAATCCTATGGAGAAATTGCATTCCTTTTTGTCGAAGGAACCGGACTAACTTACTTCCGGGTTTTAGGACGCGTCACTGCGGTTCTCTATTGAGAAACACCCGAAGAGAAGGGATAGAGAGGCGAAGTCCCGCCCATCTACTACCCATGGGACCTTATTTCGGAAAAATAATGTATTGAAGTCAATGGGGAGAGAAAGATTATCTTTCGATCCCGTTTGAATTGTGCCACGAATTACACATATGATGTTTGTCAATCTTAAAAAATAATTTCCATGTCAAAAAAGTCACAGTTTGTCGTAAAACTGTTTAAATATAAGACTATGAAAAATACGCAACAAGAAAGACTACACATCCCAGAATCACGGTCCCGCATGCTGGCTCTTACGGAACCGACTAACTCCCCTTGTGTGTATGTACAGTTCTCAACATGCCCAGACTTGTAGTGATTTTCACCTCTTTTAATACTTTTCGCCTCATTCTGAAAGAAAAAAGTGAAATGTGCCAACGTGACGGCCGTCTTGGTGTGTGGTGCGAGACGGGAGATGTAGTTCATTGAGCGGTTTCACACAAAAAAAAGTGTTACTTCACAGTTTTACGACACATTTTTATTTTTTTGACTTGCAAAATTATCTTTTAAATTGACAAACATCATATGTGTAATTCGTGGCACGGGATCGAAAGATAATCTTTCTCTCCCCATTGACTTCAATACATACTTTTTCCGAAATAAGGTCCCATGGAGGTCCCCCGGAAAAGGAGGGACTTCGCCTCTCTATTAGACCATGGATGTATAATAAGAACTGGATACAGCGTGGGAGGCGGGGCCTCGTTAATTCCTATGAGAGTTGCTCATTGGCGCATGAAGACAAAATGGCCCAACTTTTGAGAGAGCCCGGCGCACTTCCTGGGGGCTTGGATTAGACGCCGCTGTCACTACCCGATCTGCCCCCCTGCCCGATTTGCACTGCACATGTGCGAGATGGTCCGCCATATTTTACAACTACATACGGCAACTCTAATAGGACACTTGACACAGTGGCGTTTGGCAAAGCAGAAAAAGAACACTAAAAAAACCCGACAATATTAATCTGAACGAGAGAGATGAGTTATTGTTATTACAACGTGACTTCACTATTATTTAACAACTCCTTTTATTGGGTCATTTTATTGGGTTAAGTACATTGTCAGAATAAGTGAGAAATGGATTTCTGTTAGACAGCTATCATACTGAAGAAATATTGACAGTGAATGTATGCAATATGTATGGCATTCATAATTTATATCTAATTACATTAACTGTGAATGTCCTTCCTTTTATTTCAAATAAAATAAAATAACAAAAGATTTTTATATAGATATTTCAGACGTTTATGACTCGCACATGCACGATGCAAATCGGGCAGCCGTCTAGACGTCAAATGTCCTATTAGAGTTGCCGTATGGAGTTGTCCAATATGGCGGACCATCTCGCACATGCGCAGTGCAGATCGGGCAGGGGGGCAGATCGGGTAGTAACAGCCGCGGCGCGGCAGACAGGGAGAATGAAAAAACATGGATAAAAATGAAAGAAAACGAAAAGAAAAAGGTGGGGCCGAGAGGGCAAGAGAAAAAAAGGTGAAGTCACTCGCAGGCAGGGGCGGATCTAGACAAATATTCATGGGGTGGCAAGAGGGTGGCAGGAGATTTTGAGGGGTGGCATCCCCTGGCAGAAGTATATGCGGATTTAATCGCAGTCATATCAATCAATGTTAACTTGGAAAGCCACAATATTAATATTTTAATTCAATAACATAGGTGACATTATTGTGGCACATCAGTAAAGCCTTACATACATATATATATATATATATATATATATATATATATATATATATATTAGGGCTGTCAAGTTAACGCGTTAATAACGCGTTAACGCAAAAAAAAATTAACGCCACTAATTATTTTAACGCGATTAACGCATGTGTATTTTTTGGCCTCGGCCGCCGTAGTTTCAGAGCGCATCGAGTTTAAAATACCATCTACAAGCTGATGCTGACAGCCCCGCTCCTGCTGCCCGCTTGTGGCAGACCACACTTCCACGCTCACCGGCAGGCCCGGACTGGCCATCGGGAGGACCGGGAGGGTGTGTGTATGTGTGGCGCGAGCGAAGCACACCTTACGTGTTGTTGTTAGCATCTGGTGCTAGCTAGCTGAGCTAACGGATATAAGGAGCTGTTTCAATGAAAACAGAGGAGCGACATTTCGCCGACAGCTGCGCCGAGCACTTGACTTTATGCAGGTAGCCAGACAGCACACTCAGCACGGATAGTGCGCGCAACACAGCTCATACACACAGGCATATATGCCTTGAGCTGCACATAGCTCCAACAATCCATCACAGTGTCTCCACATTCTCTCACACACACACACACACACACACACACACACACACACACACACACACACACACACACACACACACACACACACACATACACACACACACACACACACACACACACACACACACACACACACACACACACACACACACACAGTATTGTATTATTGTATGAGAGAGGTTCTAGGTTGAATTGAGGCGAATATTTGTAATGTTCAGGTTGTTGTGTTTAATATTCATGAGAATATTTGTCATTGTTCAAATGATAATAAACAAACATATAAAGCATAGTTGTCCACTCATATGTTGATAAGAGTATTAAAAACTTGAAAAATATCCCTCTAAGGTACATTTAGAACAGATAAAAAATGTGCGATTAATTTGCGATTAATCGCGATTAACTATGGACAATCATGCGATTAATCGCGATTAAATATTTTAATCGACTGACAGCCCTAATATATATATATAAGGTGGCAGACATCATTTAATGAATTTTAACTGAACAATAACTGAATGAGTTTGTTTCACTCTTAGACCAGCAGGGGTACCAAATCTATGCAGACTGCTGCAATAAGTACATTAATTAACTGTCTCGTCGATGTTTGTCTGAATGAATATGATACTATTAACAATCATATTATTCCTATCAGCTGTCAATCACTGTTATGATTCACATATTCATTTATTATTGAATAAACTATATTTTTTGGAGGAGTTAATGATGAATGTTCCTCAAGATGCTTGCTCACCCTCCTTCAAATTTGAAAGACAAGTAATTATATCATGTATCAAAAGATTCAAAGGAACAGTTCAGCGCCCCACGACTTTACTGCAAACAGTTACAACCTTGACTTTACATCAGAAAGAACAAACATTAAAGAAGTGACTAACTGCATCAGTTAGGGTTAAAAAACGTGTATTCAGCTAAAACATATACATCGCTGCAGTTATTATCCAGTGGAAAGTCCTTACCTACTGGCCTAGTTAAATCAAAGTGGTTACTTTTTTTTGGCTGGGCAGTGTAGTTTTACACACCGTCTTATTTGACTTTCTCAGGACTTAAATCAGTTTTTTAGGGGCAGACCCCCACAAAGAAAAGAAATATATACACACATAAAAGGTCATCATCTTAACAGTTTGTTATGCTCATCGAGTCATCCGTGAGCAGAGCATCAAGTTGGCATGTCTATTACAGCTGAATGTGGCGATTACCATGTTGTTCAGCAAAACGCCTCACAAACTTATTAAGATCCAAAGCTTAGTGCGTTTTGATTCAATGCTGAGTACAGCCAAACTTGACAGTCTCTTCTCTGTCATTGTAGACCGCAAATACCTCATTCCTTCCGTCTACTTGGGTCCGAATGCTTCTCGTTTTGCACAAAACAACGTTTAAGTTGAGCAAAGAGTGAATTTCAATTTCTTAGTTAGAACTTCAATGTGGTGTTTAAAGTTTAGATTTCTGTCATAATATCCTGCCTGCCACTGATGACCTTTATACACTGTCATGATTACACACCACTTTACTTGCATCTGTAGCACATTGTTGATTAAGATGCTACATGTTTGTATATGCTATTGGTTCATTAAATTATTACCACAACAATGTTGCATGTTTTTGGTTCCCTCTTGATAATAATAATAATAATAATAATAATAATAATAATAATAATAATAATAATAATGGGTTCCATTTATAAAGCACTTCATATTTGATTTCAAATCCCGAAGTGCTACAAGCAGTGAGCATGAATATATATATTGATATTTTTCATTTTCCCATATCGGAGGGTGATTTTTCACCAGCCTATAAATGGTACACTGGTTTTTCTTACGGTATATCTGGTAGGTAAAAGTGTTGTGTCAAATGAAAGTGAGAGGATGACATGCCGCGTCTGACCACCAGGCGGCGCTGTTGGAGCGAAGCCCGGCCCGCCGCCTCCAGCAGAGAGCAGTGCGCGGTTGGATCATGGATGTTTAAGAACTGGATACAGCGTGGGAGGCGGGGCCTCGTTCATTCCTATGGGAGTTGCTCATTGGCGCATGAAGACAAAATGGCCCAACTTTTGAGAGAGCGAAACGTCACGAAAGTATTCATATAATCATATAATCCGTTCTTATTGTGCATCCATGGGTAAAGGTAAAACTCATGTAGTACTGAACACGTCACATGAACGTGCCGGGCGGCGCGGTCCCGTGGGTTAGATCCGCGTTCATAATGCAGAGGAAAATAACTCAGAATAACGTTATTAGCACATTTTACAACTTGAGGACCGAATGTTTTTAATAAGGGCTATACAAATGTTCATACTGGGTAGTTTATTTAGTTTAAAAAAAATTATCCAACGATTTACAGACATCTCTTTCCCAATGTTAGTCAATGGGAAAAGTCTTTCCGGGCCCAGCGACTGATACGGAAGTGTAGTACCGCCGTTTGGCCACAACGAATATTTTCCTCAGAGTACGGCGCACTTCCTGGGGGCTTGGGTTGGATGTGAGCGCCACCGACCTGTCTCCACTTCCAGATCGAAGATGGCGGTCTCGGTGTTCCCCGGCGTGCGGCTCCTCTCCATCGGAGACGCGAATGGAGACATACAGCGACATTCAGAGCAGCAGCCCCTGCGGCTGGAAGTGAAGAGCACACAGGATGCTGCTCTCATCAATCTCTCCAATGGTGAGTTGACCTTTCCCGTAGTGGCTTCTCGGATGTTCGGCCTGTCTTAACTGCCAGTGCTAATGCTATGCAGTGCTAATGCTTATAAAGCTAATCTGGCCATACGTAGTGTTAGCCGCCAAGAAGCTAACCCGTCTTGGAGAACCACGTCGCCTCCCCATGTTCATCACGAGGGAGCCCCATAAACTCCAAAATTGTCTTCGTTTGATGGGGTGTTAACGCTGCCCCAGCTCTCTACTCCCACACAGCCGCCCGCTCCCACACCAACACAGCTAGCACCTAACCTGGGACGTGAGCGGAGTTAGTCACTCCAGTGGCGTTAAGTTGTGTTTAGCTCCATGCTAACGTTAGCTAAACAATGCCACCAACCCGGTGATGCACCAACGGTCGTCTAACGTCTTGTTATGTCTGACTAACGTTTATTTTGTCACATTCATAATAATAATTGAACATGTTTCTGGGTTCCTCTTAGAGACGTGTTCTTTGCTGTTTTAGCTTGTGTGGACCATAGGGCATCCCTCCTGAGTCCTGCACAGCGCGGCGTTCAGCCAGGAGCCGTAAACACATACACTTATGAAGATTTAACTTTTTGGATATAGTGGTATTTTGGGTAGCATAGCGAGGCCGGGCCCTCATTACTTATACATTCATCTTTGTTCTCATTGGGACAATAGCCGGGTCCCTCGCTCCTGTGTGGTGGGAGGGAGGGAGGGAGGCTTTTCTTAGTCAATGGGATGTCCCGCTGAAAAGAAGCAGCAGCTGCCGGCACAGGCCTCCTCCGCTCATATGCGGTACAGAGAAAACCGCCCCCACACATCTCTGGCAGCACACATAAACATATTTTATAAAGTTTAATTTATCCCTGAGAAAAAAATCAAGTAATAGAATTGTAAAGGGAAAAAGACTGATGAGATAATTATGGGTATGGTAAACACACTGTTAATCAGCCACTAAATAACATATCTGCCATCCATAGGAACATGTTCTAAAATATTTGATCAAACTTTGACCAGATCAATGAGTAGTTGAACTGCATTTGGGCTATGGCTGCAAAAATTGGAAAAAATTACTAATTGCGATTACTATTTTTGAAGAATAATTGTCATTATAGTTAGACAAATATATTCAATAATTATTGTTTTATGTTTTTAGGAGAACATACAATGTTTTAAGTCAAGTCTGTAGAATACGATTTGTAGGCCCAAACATCTCTGCATCTCAACATAACTTCATTTAAAAATGACATTTGAAAACACATTTAGCCTGTAACAAACCCGCTCTACCTTGCGATTTCGATACAATTTCAATTAATTATGCATTCCCAATTTGAATGAGTGTATGTGCAGGAATACGAAAAGCTTCTCTTCTAAATATGTCTAATAGTATGTTACTGAAAATAAAATCACAATATTCAATGTAAAAATGAACACATTTCCCAGTGAACTAAATATAAGTAAATGTACATATGGCCATTAAGTTTCTCATTTAGTTGCTTCAGCTGTTACATTGCCTGACATTTCCGTTATAATTTCTTTTAAGAGACAAAATAAGAGAAGTCAATTCCAGATGCTCAACCTCCCAGATGGTGTCCCGAACGAACAATCCACTGGATTATAAAAAGTGTATTATTAGCATAGGTAACGTCCCCTATTAAGCTGTTGTGCTGTGTGCAGAGATGCACCTGAAAAAGTGTATGAGAATAAGTAAACATGTGTTTTTCTGTTGCAGGAAAATCCAAAACAGAAGTATGTTTGCCATTTAGAATAATCAGGTTTTTCAATGCAAGGCAGTGCTGTGAACTCTTTTGTTGAGTTGCTTTAAATGCTCAGAACTCATTTAACTTCCCTCTAATAAGTAAGCCTACTGTAGGAATCAGGCATTTATTGTGAAAGGTTAGAACGTAAGGGGTGAAGTTATAATGGTTTGCTTCTGCCATTGACAATAAAGCATTGATCCTCCTATTTGAGCTGACAGAGCATCAGTGTTGTTAATGTACTCCTTCCATAAGTATTGCTGCAACTTATGGCCTTACTTTAGTGCTGTATTTCTCTCCGTGAGTCTCTGCTTTCTCGAGGAGCCGTGGACGGTTGGCCACAGAACTTTATTGGCTTTGATGAGCGATCAGTGGGATCTTATCATTACTATCCCTGCACTTTGTTCCAACCCAGTTTAGATCTAACCATGCTCACTTCCGCATTAACATGGCTCAGCGTGACTGATCATGTATGTATTAAGGAAACGTGCCATCCCTAATGTTAACCATGCAGAAGTAATATCATGTCTACTCTAGCTTGAGAAAATACGTTATGGGCTGTTTATCAGTCGGCGCAAATGAAAAACATTACAGCCACCTGCAGCAAGAGAAATATTTTGAATATTTGTTATCCTCTGACAGTGTTGGAAAGTAACAAGGTACATGTACTCAAATACTGTCCTCATGTACAAAATGTGACAAACTAAATGAGCTAGTAGGCTACATATTGCTTTCTAGTTCATTCTTTTTTAATCCAACGTGAATTAATATTACAAAAATAATAAACATTTACTCGGCTCTGCATAATTATGATCTTCTTTCATATTAAAAAAAAGGGCTATTTTCATCAATTGAATTTGATAAAGATCCTCTAGGAAGCGATTGTAGCTTATATAGCTTCATTCAAGTTCATATTTGGTGGGATGAAAACACACGCTGACGCTGTGTTGATGTTTTCGTCATGCGGAAGTGGCCGTGCTTAAATCTAAAGATAGACGGGGTAACATCAAATAGTATAATAATATCGCGTTACTCAAGTGTATCAACATATCTTCTTACATCACTAGCAGTCTTGTGTATAATTAACCAGACTGACTGACTGGAGGAGTTTAAAGAAGCAAATATAGATTTCCTGTCAGCTCCATGGGATGGAGAAAGTTCCCTGCCTTTTCCAGTGAGTGAGGAGATCCTGTAGTGAAACCGACTGGGAGCCTTATCAATCAATGTAGATACAGTTAATACATTCAAAAGAACACATTTACAGCAGGATACTTGTATGATTTGAACCGTAAACAAACACTGTTCTTGTCTTCATCACACTACATTTGAGTACAAATTCTTTTTAAAAAACCCACTTGTAACTGAAAATGTAGTTCCAATTTAAAAAGTACCAGGACGAAAGTAAGAGGGTGCAGCGCCAAAACCTTATTTACTTATATAAAATTGCCAATAATTAAATGTAAATGTTAAACAAAAATGCAGATGTACAGGTTCATCTCTGTATACCTGTACTTCTCTCACTTTATAATCAAGTAGTCAACCGTGACAAAGGAAAGTGTTCCTACATTTTGCCACCTTATGTGGGCGACTATGTCTCAGGGGTAACTGTGTGTACCAATCAGAGGGTCAGGAGTTTGATCCCTAACCCCTGCAGTCAACATGTCCTCGGGAAACATTCAGTGTCTTGTCTCTTGTTCACCGGTGTTAGTGGTCGGCTTGTGGAAGGAGAGCCGTGCTGCGTGGCTGCTGGCTTCTCTCCCAGAGGATGCATCTCTCTTAATCTGCAGGGCTGCTCTTAATCCTTCCGGAGGTTTCAGATTATCTCAGGCTGCTAACTGAGGCCCCGGCTCCACGAGGACGAAAACGGGTTGAATCCGCATATTTCTCATGCGTATAGCCCTCTAAGCTCGACGACGCCGTAAGGGAAACGTAGAAACAGACCCCGCAAACGACAACGGGTCCAAAGGTGGATAGATCTGGGAACGGAGCGCTCTGGGGGGTCCAACGGGGCCGTGGAGTCGCCTATACGGTCATTCGTTTTCATAGCCCCGCCTCTCCCCCCGCAGGGTTGCTATCGTGCTCCAGTCGCTACTGACCATGCTACAGTTCTTTGTGCAACATCTACAGGAGCTCCTCCTTGAATTCAGATTATTTATCTTTATCTCGATATGGACATAAACGCGAGTGAAGTCTAATCTGACAGGACGGAGACACGCAGCTCCTGCCGCTGTGATGCAGCGGGAGCAAAACACACACTTCAAGTCAGATCATCACCCTTAGCTATTTTAATTACCTCTCAAACTAAACTAGTTATAAATATGTTTATTTTTACTGTCGGGTCACTCATTACAGGATCAGCTGCTGCATGAGACAGACACTGACGCTGTCAGAAGAGAGGAAAAAGAGACAGGCTCTGTGTATTTGATGATTATATATCATTATATCGTCGTTATTCATTTGTTTTAAAGCTCAATAAATAACAATGAAGACCTTTGACCGGCACTTTTATAATTTTGTCCGGAAGATTTAAACTTTAACACACGCTGACCGGCGAAAAACTCTGCCCGGTTCTGTCGGCCCCCACCGCGGAGAATAAACAGAAGTGCAGCCATGACAACCATTCTTCTTCGCTGCTTTTGTGGAGGAAGTTGCTGCTTTTGTGGAGGAAGTTACAGCGCCACGTACAGGTTCGGCATATGTACTGCAGCTTTTCCAGCGTTTGGATGTAAACGGAGCTGTCTCGTGGAGCTTGACACAATCCGGTGTATATTGCGTGGGGACGGAAGCTTTTTGCGGTTGCATTTGCGTTACTCCGATGCGTTTTGCCGTATTTGTCCTCGTGGAGCCGGGGCCTGAGTCTGTGTCAGGCCTGCTGCACCACCTGGAGGCTTCTCCCACTACACAAGTGTTTGACGGGGCAGAGCAGTAGCTAGATGTAGTAACTTTCCAGCTTCATATCTCATCCTCAGAGGTGGGAAAAGTACTCAGATGTTGTACTTATAAAAGTACCAGAGTGTAAGAATACTCTGTTACAAGTAAATGTCCTGCATTCAAAATGGTACTCAAGTAAAATTCAAAATGATTAGCATTAAATATATTTAAAGTACTCATTATGTCCATTTCAGAACAATATATATGATATGTTTTATAATTATTGATCATTACGATACGATAATACTTTATTGGTCAGATCAAGTCTGCAATTGGACTTGCATCACAGCAGCTCCATGTGTAACATCAACATAGACACATATCAAGACACAATACATGAAAAACACACAACAAACATTTAACATAACATCACAATCACTGAGAGAAAACACGAAAGTGTTCTCAAAGCTGGTAAAGGTGCAGCTAGTTTGAATGACTTTGTATACTGCAGGGTAGCTTGTCTGATAGCTAAAGTCTGATTTCATCTGAAAAGTAACTAAAGGTATTAAATAAATGTAGTGGAGTAACAGTACACCATTTACCTCTGAATTTGTGGTGAGGTAGAAGTACAAAGTTCTTTGAAAATTGAAAATACTCAAGTAAAGTACAAGTATCTCATAATTGAACTTTCGTACATTGACTAAATGTACTTAGTTACTTTACACCACTGACGATCCTCTGTTGAAAGAATGAACTAAAAGTATCATATAGTTATGATGACTGATAATAACGTCATCAATCATTCTTGCACAGAGGCAATAATATCTGTTTTATCATTGTATGCTTTCATATCAGTGCCTTTGTAAAAGTCTTCTACAATCATATCATCTATTGTCATGTAAATGTATGGTTATCACAGGCACAGTTAGAGATGGACCATTGCACATGTTTCAGCCCATGTGTTATAAATTCCCCTTGTATGCCAGGGAAACCAAAAATCTTTGTTATAAACAATTATGAACTACCTTTCAGGTCTTCATCACACTACATTTGAATGACTCCATATTCCTAAAATCATCAACTTAAAAACTGAACATTTAACAGTCAATGGTGACTTACTAATTGTCCCTCCATGTTTGTATGATAATAAAACATATTTACTCGTATAAAATTGCCATTTATTAAATCCAAATGTTCAACAAAAATGCAGATGCACAGGTACATCTATTACCGTGTCTTCTTTATAAAGCAGGTCACCCTTTAAATTAATAGTAAGTTATTTATCTTAAAAAACCAAGTGTGTATGATGAAATGTTTCAAACTTTAAACAGGCGGATCTTTAACTAAATGCTTAGTTGGGGAGTTTCACTAAAAATAATATCCCATAAGAATTCCATAGTAATACCAGTTATGAATGTATGATGAAGACGCGCCACAGCGTACACACAGTGGTGGTGATAATGCTTCCCTCACACTTCTCTCTCCTAAAGTGGAAGGATAGCTTTGGCTCGGTTCCTCCATTACCATAAACACACACTCTGGTTTATTTATACAACACACACCCTCTTGCAGCCACAAATACTCACAAGAGCACTTCATGTGGATGAGTCCGCCGCTGAAAATAGTCCCGACACACGCACTTCTGTTAGTTTGATAAAAACTACAGTGACCAGCTGCAAGTAACTCATGAAACTAGGGCTGCTCGATTATGGCAAAAATCATAATCTCAATTATTTGGGTAAATAATTGATATCACGATTATTAAAAACGATTATCCATTTATTGAAAAAAAAAATGTGAACAGTATGTTTTTAACAGTTGATTATCCTGAACTTTAAGTATAATTCAACTGAAAAACCAAAAAAAAAAAAAAAAAAATTTATTTATTTCGATTATGTTTTCATAATCGTTGCAAGCCAAAATCGTAATAGCGATTTAAAATACGATTAATTGAGCAGCCCTACATGAAACTATATTTGTGTTTTTAAATCTGCAGTAGGAACCAGTGGGCTTCACTCTGAGGGACAGGAGACGGACTCACACACAGTTGGTTGATAATTCTCCGATTTTTGGCAATAAAACATATCGGGGCTGGGCGGAATGAAGAAATAGTATACCAAAACTAAATGTCAATATTCATGTGGTGACAATATTATAGGGTTGACCATTGGTTCTTTAACAATATATTTACACAATACGTTAATACAAAATAAATAAAAACCATTATTTATGTGGATTAGTTCAGTGACTACAGCAAAAAAAGAGAGCAGTAAGAAAGGTATTGCAAATTAAATCAAATCCCTGCAATGCAGCTTTTAAAAATAGGAAGAAAATACAGTTATGATATTACTATGTCAAACATCGAAATCGATATTGATATATTGTATTTACTTGTGTCTATAAAGTCTTGCGTAGACATTGAGTTGGATCTTCATGTAATTCATGTAACAATGAACACTGATATCATCAGTACGTCTGGAATAGATTTTTATTTCACAGGACATACTATAAAAAAGACTATCAAAGTCTATTAGGTAAAAATGTATCTCTGTTACTTTTCAAGATCTAAAAAAAAAGGTAAACATATTTTTGAGCATTTGTGGATAATCGTCCACAGTGTGAGCAGGCAGGGGATGAAGAGGCTCTCCCACACAGGAGCAGCTTGTGTGCGATCTGAAATTGAAATGTCAGGCCGAACATGTGCCTGCAGCAAGAAGAAACAGTCTGTGGCTGTCCTGCAAAATGCAGAAAACATCAAGGCACATTTTGTTCATCTGAAAATGCACATTTCACATGAGTAAGGTGTCAGTAAGAGATCCACTTCCAGCTCGTCCTCAGTGCTCGTTATTATGACCAAATGTCACCTCCAGACCCCGGATTTTAAAAGTGCAGCTTTCAGCAAACCATTGTTTTATTGCAATTTCTACCTTCATAGGTAGGTAGTCACACTGATTGTAAGTCTCAAAATGAGAGCACAGAGTAGTGCTATCTAGGTAGTAAATGATAATAAAATGAATAAATACACTTCAGATTCTTGTAAGATGCGTTGGTGAGTAAGACATTTATCACCTGTGATAATACACAGGCTTTGAGGTGGAGGGATACACGTGTTGAAGCCGTGTTGCACACATGTCTCATGTTGTCCTAACTTTTTTGTTTCAGGAGAGGAGAGTGTGTTCAAGTGTTCGGTTTCCAGGGAGACTGAGTGCAGCCGTGTTGGGAAGCAGTCTTTCATCATCACACTGGGCTGCAACAGCGTCCTGCTGCAGTTCTCCTCACCTGCAGGTACACACACACACACACACACACACACACACACACACACACACACACACACACACACGGCCAACACAACAAGGCTGGGAGATGTACGAGCCTCTATAGAGTGGTGCAGTGATGATGTCTTTTGATAGGCCGACTTGGAAGTTAGCATCACAAGGGCTCCCTCGACAAGAAGCAATGGAATTTATCCTCTGGATTTTTGAATGTTCCAGAAAATAATCTCTGTGGCAAACACATGTTTATGATACTAACACGTTTTGTTCAGCAGGATAATCTCCACATATAAACAGCACTTTTATAATAGTTGAAGAACAAGTGCAATCACCAAAAGTAAGTGTAGGCGATAAACAAACTATATTGCGGTCACACAACTGCATGTCAATATCGCTAAGCTAACGGCGGCTAGCAGTCAGTTTGATGACGTTTAGTAGTCTCATTTAGTCACCTGTTAACAGTAGCTGTTTTTATGGCCCATAGAAACTTCAGACGTTCACCTGTGGGGTGTTTACTGATTTTTTTTAATGTTGCAGAACAAAACATGAACATCTCGTAACCTTGTATTTAACCAACCACAGATCTTATCTTGGGCTGCTAACCAATAATTTAGTCAAACAAACCTTTACTTTACAACGTTGGAGCTCAGAAGTGCTTAGATGCCAACACATTTCTAGGTTTAGGACTCGTTCCTGCACCTCTCTATGAATGGTCTTATTCTTATATTTGCTCTTAATACTGAATGAAATAACCAAATATAACAACCAAAATAATGAGAAAACAATGGTACAAAGGTTCAGGAATAAGGCTAGCAACATTACGGAACTATGCATAAGCACAAATTATGTTACAGAACAAAACATTTAAAATGTTCTCAGCTTGTGTTATTGTATTATTTCAGGCTTCTAACCAAAAACACTTAAAAAAAAAAGTTGACTTCCAGACGAGGAACAGGAAGTGCTAAAATGCTGACTAATTTCCTGGATTAGTACATATCCCTGCACCACTCCATGGGCTCCGGTTTAGAAGAACTTGTTACCCAACATTGGAATAATTAATTATTAAAGCAGCGATCTTCATTGCAATACCCTAAAGAATTGTAATCTTCTCATTAAATATTCCACCTTATACTTTCATTTAAATGTCTCCACCATCTAGCTCCTGCCATTTTCAGCACTATTCTGCCTCCGGTATATCAGAAGCAGCGTTTCCGCCAGGGGGGCGCCTTGCCGTCATTTGATTAAAATATTAATAAGAAGATCGAGAGTTTTTATCGCTTGAAATAACAAAAAGGACAAGGACATCCCTCTGTTGGAGGGCCAAAGGAGTCTGGTGGGATTATTTTCGGAGTATTGAAAATCGTTTCCCAGACATCGGCGGTGCCTACCACAGGACAACACGGAACGTGCGAGATTTGGACACGATGAGCGGGGGGGGTTTTAGTGGAGCACCCGCGTGAACTGCGAGCACCGGAGCCTCGCAGCGGCGAAACTGAGACTCCGTGGTAAACTGTGGTAACATGAAGAGCCGTTTGGGAGCCGAAACAGCCGGCGCTTCTTAGAGCAGGGGTTCCCAAAGTGGGGGTCGCGAGATGATTGATATAAATAAATAATTGTAATAATAAAAATAATAAAAAAATATATTTTTTAATTATTATTATCCAGTGTTTCCCACATAATTGGATTCTATTTTATCAATCCATAAATCAGAAAATACTGTCAACAGCCCTAAAATATCAATTTTCGCCATGTTTTTAGGTATAAAATGTTATATAATTCAGGCTATGAATGATATATGAACAAACCCTTCTGAAAAACATTCAGAATATTGATAGGAATATAACTGGAAGGTTTGGTGTATGTACGTGCTACTGAAGTGGACATTTCTCACTCAGAATAGGAGAAAAAACTCATTTTGAGAAAACAACCTTTAAAGATTGCAGTGTGGCGCTACCTAAACCCTGCTGTTCTTTGGATGACATCTTGCGTCTCAACGGACTCCGTGAAGGTATTTCATGTTCGGGATCATTTGTTTTTTGTCTAACCTTGCTTCGTGCAAGTGACAATTGTTGTCCTCTTCTCTGTGAATGTTTTTTTCGCTGTTCTTTTGCCATTTTGAGATTTAAATTTCCAGTAAAAGCTAAACCAAGAAGTGTTTTAGCACACCACGTGACGCATCTGAACGAATCACGTTGTCAGAAATTGAGATTTCATTTTTTGGTTTAAGACCCCTTTGTACTTTCACGATTGGTTGCTGATACAAAGGAAATGACCATATTTGGATCAGATGAGATTGTGCAGGAGAGACGGAGCTTTCCAACGATATCTCTGTTGACATGGTGCAAACAGCGGTCGCGGTACTTTATGTTACGTTGGAATGCTAACTTTTGGTGAGACACACCGGAGTTGAGGATCTGTGGGTTTTGTATGTCGATGTATGGGAAACACTGTTATTTGTATTACTATTATTAATAATAACGTGTACATAGAAATGTTTTCAGGGGCGGACTGGCCATCTGTAGAACGCCCCCTCTCGGGGTGGACGCCCTCTCAGCCCTGGTCTGGCGGAAACACTGATCAGAAGTACATTTTGCAATTAGCCACACTGTATTCTCAACAAAAGGCTCGCCGCTATGGAGTTCCTCGTGAGCAGCTCACAGCAGATTCAGGATTTCAAGGGATTCTGTAAAAGTCGATTATCATGACACAACCACATTTTTTTTTAAAGTTATGATTATTTTGATTGATATTGCAATTGCGATATCATTTGGAATATTGGAGGGAATTAAACTTTTTGTTCTACTTTTTTTTATATTATCATAGGAGATGTATTAATATGATCAAAGTGTGATTCTTTTTTTTCCTGTACCAATGAAAAGTGTAAAAATTGCTTATAGGCCTGGACTTCAATGCAGAACAATATTTCATTGATTGTTACAATGCCATATATTAGGCCTTACTGCGAAATGAGACATTGCACTAGTCCATATGGCTATTTTGATAAAATACACATTGCGTGTGCAGCCCTATTAACTAAAGTCATACTTCCCATGAAGGGGCTGGTTGAATAAATGAGCTTTAGATGTGCAGTAATGTTAATATGTACGTGTCCTGGGTGGGAGCAACCCGATGAACACACCAGAATCAGTTTTATTACCAAGTAGGGTTACACATATTAGGAATTTGCTTTTGTGTAAACGATGCATACAAAGACACAGAAAGAAGTTTATTTTAAAAATAGAGGAGCCGAAATAGTACAATTTTATAAAACCATTTTAAAGACTGTTGTAACAAATTAAAAATAAAGACACTATTTACACACAATATAAATATGTAAAAACATAACACATGATGTGTTTAACGGCCTTTGACACACGAGCGTACAAACTGTTTGGCGTAGTTAAATTCATAATTCCAAACATTCACCATAACTTTTCTGATGGTGTGTTGTTGTGTAATGTAGTGTGAATTGTAATTGTTTGTGTGTTTAGACTTCCAGTCCTTTTATAACCTGCTGAAGAACAGTCGCGGACACGTCAATGAGCGCTCCGTCTTCAGCGACAGAACAGAGGACTCCTCTGCTGTACAGTACTTCCAGGTGAGCGGCTCTCAAACAGTGAACACATCACACTGCAGACATGACACTGAACACATCACACTGCAGACATGACACTGAACACATCACACTGCAGACATGACACTGAACACATCACACTGCAGACATGACACTGAACACATCACACTGCAGACATGACACTGAACACATCACACTGCAGACATGACCACTGAACACATCACACTGCAGACATGACACTGAACACATCACACTGCAGACATGACACTGAACACATCACACTGCAGACATGACACTGAACACATCACACTGCAGACATGACACTGAACACATCACACTGCAGACATGACACTGAACACATCACACTGCAGACATGACACTGAACACATCACACTGCAGACATGACACTGAACACATCACACTGCAGACATGACACTGAACACTGCACACTGCAGACATGACACTGAACACATCACACTGCAGACATGACACTGAACACATCACACTGCAGACATGACACTGAACACATCACACTGCAGACATGACACTGAACACATCACACTGCAGACATGACACTGAACACATCACACTGCAGACATGACACTGAACACATCACACTGCAGACATGACACTGAACACATCACACTGCAGACATGACACTGAACACATCACACTGCAGACATGACACTGAACACATCACACTGCAGACATGACACTGAACACATCACACTGCAGACATGACACTGAACACATCACACTGCAGACATGACACTGAACACCATCACACTGCAGACATGACACTGAACACATCACACTGCAGACATGACACTGAACACATCACACTGCAGACATGACACTGAACACATCACACTGCAGACATGACACTGAACACATCACACTGCAGACATGACACTGAACACATCACACTGCAGACATGACACTGAACACATCACACTGCAGACATGACACTGAACACATCACACTGCAGACATGACACTGAACACATCACACTGCAGACATGACACTGAACACATCACATCACACTGCAGACATGACACTGAACACATCACACTGCAGACATGACACTGAACACATCACACTGCCAGACATGACACTGAACACATCACACTGCAGACATGACACTGAACACATCACACTGCAGACATGACACTGAACACATCACACTGCAGACATGACACTGAACACATCACACTGCAGACATGACACTGAACACATCACACTGCAGGACATGACACTGAACACATCACACTGCAGACATGACACTGAACACATCACACTGCAGACATGACACTGAACACATCACACTGCAGACATGACACTGAACACATCACACTGCAGACATGACACTGAACACATCACACTGCAGACATGACACTGAACACAATCACACTGCAGACATGACACTGAACACATCACACTGCAGACATGACACTGAACAACATCACACTGAACACTGACACATCACACTGCAGACATGACACTGAACACATCACACTGCAGACATGACACTGAACACATCACACTGCAGGACATGACACTGAACACATCACACTGCAGACATGACACTGAACACATGACACTGCAAGACATGACACTGAACATCACACTGCAGACATGACACTGAACACATCACACTGCAGACATGACACTGAACACATCACACTGCAGACATGATACTGAACACATCACACTGCAGACATGACACTGGACTCACTCTGTTCTTAGGGGACTATCTATAGTTTCACAACGCTCATTGCATTCATTCATTTTTAAAAGGTTGGGTTTGGAACCTGTTTGAATGACTTTACAAGTCAATAAAATTCAGAGGTGGGAAGTAACTAAGTACGTTTACTCAAGTACTGTAATTGAGTAAAATGTTGAGATACTTGGACTTTACTTGAGTATTTCCATGTTATGCTACTTTGTACTTCTACTCCACTTCAATTCAGAGGTAAATGGTGTACTTTCACTCCACTACATTTATTTAATACCTTTAGTTACTTTACAGATTTGCATTAATGATGTGAAATATAATCATGTAAATAAGACTTTAGTTACACCTGGAGTAAATTCACAATGATGCTAATACTTTAGTTTTTTACTTGGGTACCATTTTTAATGCAGGACTTTAATTTGAAACAGAGTATTTCTACTCTCTTGTTCTACTTTTACTCGAATACAAGATGTGAGTACTTTTCCCACCTCTGCTTACATTTGATTAATATAGACCAATATCACAAAGATCACCAATTTGTCTGGTGGCTGTACGGTGGCAATATTTTGAAATCCCTTTCCATATAACAGCAGTTTTTAGACATGTAGGGCTATTCATAATGCCCAGGTCTAACCCCGCCACTCCCTTTTATCTCAATCAAATAAAAGATTACACTAAACTTGGATTAATTTACTTCTCACGATATTGAAATATTCTACACATATCTTTGCAAATATCTAATAATAAAACTGAAACAGGATCTGCTCTGTAAATAACATGTCCTGTGTTCCCTTCTGAGGGATAGAAGTAAGATCTGTGAAGGAAGAAATGTGTATTTAATGTCAGTCCCATGAAGCCTCACTCTTAGCATTCTTTATTCAATAAACACTGACATGTTGTGTCCCACACCCGGGTTAACCTAGGCTTTTGACTGCAATACATTATGACTTTTTTCGACTTATTGTGAGGATATGTTTTGTTTGTCCTCCCTGAGGCTGCTTGCACAATATTGATTTATTTAGATAAAAAATGCATTAATGTTTTTGTCTCTGCAGTTTTATGGCTACCTCTCTCAGCAACAGAACATGATGCAGGACTACGTTCGGACAGGGACTTACCAACGGGCTATTCTCCAGAACCACACCGACTTCAAGGATAAGGTAAACTTCAACTGCTGTATAGTTTATAAATTACACTTACAAAAAATAAGACTGCAGCCATAATATTCAGTAGCTCCATAGATGAATAAAAAAAAGGGGTAGTTAATGAGTTTCTTTTGTTTTTTTTCAAACTTCGGGGGCTGCCGGTTTATCTTTTCACGAAACTGTGTCTCTGGGCTTCTTAACATTTCAAAACCTATGAATGTGTCATACCCACTTAACGGGAAGAAACTCAGCTAACTGACGATACGAACCATTTTTACCGAAACAAAACATAAGTCTCACAAGAAGCGTCTAAATGAGCCCTGAGCGAGAAAATGCTAACGCACTTAGCACAGAACTCACGGTATAAATACTTTATTACTTATCGGATCTGCACAAACAAGATATTAGCTAGCAAGCTGAGATTCCACAGATTCTAGAGGTATTAGTATCATCACTGAGCGATCAAAACTCGCGGCAGGGGAAGCAAACCCAGACAACACACAACGTAGCTTTACGGAGCAAACACGGGACATTGTCTTACCTTTGCTGTTGTTCTGATCAAAAGTTGTGTTCAATGGCATTAAAACGATAAAAACGCTGCTGAAGGTTAATCCAATGTGTCTCTGTCACTTTGAAATGATTACTGATAATCCATCGTCCTATTTATGGCAAAAACTGAGTTTTCATATATAGCTATTATGATAGCTACGAGAGTGTATGACAGCTTCCGGTTTTGGGCATTCTGGCTGCGCATCACTCTATTCACCAATGGCTAATGTTTAGATGGATTTTAGGAACTTCCCCTCGATTCTATTGGCTCTAACGGCTAAAAAGAGGTGTCAATCATCAAAATCGACCGATGGGTTCCAGAGATATGGAAAATGCACCCAAATGACCCCAGAAGTTTTTTTTTTTTTCTAAACCTCTCTAAAAAGGTCAAATTTCACTTGTTTTGCATCAATCTTGATACAGGGTACTTATTATATGTTATAGTTTGGATTCCTAAAGCTTTTAGTCTACCATCCCATCATTCAAGGGTGGTTTTCACTATAAGTAATGGTTTATTTTTGGACGGACACTATCATTTACATTTGTTTTACTATGTTCAATCTGAATTTACTTTAAAATAAAATAAATCTATATTGATTCTGACTTTTCTACATCCAACTCACAGGTTTATCATTGCTTTGAGACAAAAGATTATTAATTTACCCCTTTTAGAAGTGAAGATATAGATATAGAGCCTGAGACCTGAAAAACAGGCTCAGGGCTTAACAGGTTCAAACTTAATCCTGCACCACTCTATAGATCTATCAGTGTGGGAGAGTTATTGAAGTGTATGTAAATCGCTTTGGATTAAAGCTTCAGCTTAAAACATGTACTTAAATAAACATGTTGTTAACCTAAAGCCATGGGCATGCTGAGCCTTGCTATTATTCAGATATGCACACACACTTTAAAATTATTGACAGATTGATGGTGCTGCACAGACCTGTAATAAACCCCGCTCTCTTCCCCCCAGGTGGTGCTAGATGTGGGCTGCGGCTCGGGGATCCTCTCTTTCTTTGCAGCCCAGGCTGGAGCCAGGAAGGTGTACGCAGTGGAGGCCAGCACCATGGCACAGCATGCAGAGGTCCATCCATTTTTAATATGCTATTATCAACCGCCTGACTGATATGTTCTGATACCATATCACTCCGCTGATAAATTCTTACTTTAACATTGATGTGTGGTGTGCCTCCAGGTGCTCGTGAACAGTAACCGCCTCGGGGACCGGGTGGTCGTCATCCCGGGGAAGGTGGAGGAGGTGACGCTGCCGGAGCAGGTGGACATCATCATCTCAGAGCCCATGGGCTACATGTTGTTCAACGAGCGCATGCTGGAGAGCTACCTGCACGCCAAGAAGTTCCTCAAGCCCAACGGTGAGGACGTTTGGGGCTCATGGGAAAACATTTTAAAAAGGACATATCGTGCTCATTCTTTTAAGTTCATATTAGTGTCAGTGTCTGTGACATGTTTACATGCTTTAATGTTCAAAAAGCTCTTTATTTTTCTCATACTGCCTGTGCTGCAGCACCTCTTTTCACCCTCTGTCTGAAACCAGAGCCCAGTCTGCTCTGATTGGTTAGCTGGTCGGCTTTGTTGTGATTGGTCAACTGCTTACCACACCTCTTAGCCCAGTGGTTCCCAACCTGGGGGGCGCAGCGCTATTGCAGGGAGGGCACGTGAAGCTTGGGAAGAAATTGCAAACAATCTGTCCATCAGCTGGCCAAAAGGCATCATATTCATATGGAGAAATGCACCGTTTTCAACTTCCTTAACTCAGAGTTCTGTTGCTCCAATTACGTGTAAGGTGGGAGAAGTACTCAGTTCAAGTACTTAAGTAAAAGTAGTATACTGCAGGGTAGCTTGTGAATTTACTCGAGGTGTAACTAAAGTCTGATTTAAGACTTGATTATATTTCACATCATTAATCCAGATCTGTAAAGTAACTAAAGGTATTAAATACATTTAGTGGAGTCAAAGTACACCATTTACCTCTGAACTGTAGTGGAGCAGAAGTACAAAGAAGCAAAAGTGGAAATACTACAACTATATACAATTAATTCTACTAATCTCGGTGGTACTGGGTCAGGGGGGGGCTCGAAAATATTTCCAATTACCCAAGGGGGGCCCCACTGAAAAATGTTGGGAACCACTGTCTTAGCCTATCACGTACAATGTGTTGGAGTGCTAGCCAATATAACAGAAGCGCTAGTGTTACGTGACAACACTGTAGAGGCGTTTCAGGCAGAGACAAACGATATAGAACACACTACAGGAAAGGTAAAACCCCAATAAGCATAATAGGGCCTGTTTAAATGTTAAGATGGAGGGTGGAAGGCGCAGCAGCGTTTGTTAATTGTCGCCTGTATATTAATATTGTTTTTCTGTGTTTGTTCGTTTCAGGCAAAATGTTCCCAACTATCGGTGACGTCCACCTGGCCCCCTTCACAGATGAGCAGCTCTACATGGAGCAGTTCACCAAGGCCAACTTCTGGTGAGGAGGGGGCGGCCACAGTTTAAGGGACAATCGTCAGTTTTAGTTTAAAGTGGACCTATCGTGCTATATTTGACAAATATATTGTAGGGCCATACCTATATAAAACATGTCTGTGAAGTTTTTTTTTCAAAATACCAAACAGATCATGCATTTTAGCCATGCCTCATTTCGCTCCATTTGCTCTTTTCCAGCCCTGTTTTTGCAAGGGCTGATTCTGTGACGTAGCTTTAATGCAAATGAGCTGCAGCTGACCACGCCCCCCTGCAGGAGAGGGGAGCGTGCTCTGATCAGCTGCTGGGCTCTCAGAAGAGGGGGAGAAAAAGAGATCTCCGTCCTCCGTGTTTTATTATATTATTATATAGAGTCGTTATTCATTTGTTTTAAAGCTCAATAAATAACAAAGAAGACCTCTGACCGGCAAAACTTTAACGGACATGTTGACCGGCGAAAAAAAATCTAACTGAAACTCTGCCGCACGGTCCCCTCGTTCCTTGGAAGAGGCGGAGAGGTGGGTGTTTGTCATCTGCTGGTGGCAAACCGAGAGAGAATTACAGCGAGGGAGGGATTGCATTGAATTACAGCAGCAGGAGCAAACGCTTGCCTCGGGGAGGGAGAAAAAGAGCCAGAGCGTCCACAGCGGAGAATAAACAGAAGGGCAACCATGGCAACCATGCGCGGGAAGTCTTCTTAGCTGCTTTTGTGGCAGACTACAGCGCCACTTACAGGCCTGGCATATGTACTACAGCGTCTCCAGCGGCAATGGCCGTGGCCCAACCCCCCATTCCCCTGATAGGTGGAGAGTTGGCCATATAGGCGGAGCACCCCTTTTCTGACGTCAGAACAATTCAAATCTGTGTCAGATCCGTTGCAGCCCCGTTTTTAGAGATTTGGGTATGGAGGAAAAGAGAGAGGGTTGTGTTTTCTGACACTTGGTGAGTTCCCTGACACACCGGGGACACATATTCATGTATAAAAGACGTACAAAAGTGCATTTTGCATGATAGGTCCCCTTTAAATCAGTGTTTTTTGTGTTTTAAGTTTATGTGTCAAGATGCTTAAAATGATCACTGCAGTTTATTTGACCCTAAACTCCTAAAGACAGTCAATGTTTTAAAGGTTCCATACGTTGCATTGGTATTTTCAGTGAATTTGGCTGATTAGACTGTGTGGTCATGTTTACACTGTTTTTGAATATCTCCTGTTACCTTTTTGTACAAGTACACCTTCATCATCAAGTGGTGCAGGTCAAGGTGACCTTGAAGTTAGCATTTCAAGGACTCCCTATAAATGAAATGCATCATGGTCGCATGACATAAGGTCACTCACTTTTTAGCACTCATTCCTGCAACACTATTATTATGAGTAGATAAAGATTTGTCACCTCATAATTTCCATGTAAAGCTCCGACACACCTTTTAACCTTAGCAGAGGTCTAATCAGCCAGAATAGCTGAAGCTTTAGAAGCTTTTTTCATAATCGAGCCTTCATTGTCTTAGGGTTAGCACCAATGAAAACGTCTCATACTGATCAAACTGATGTGTCTCTTTCAGGTACCAGCCCTCCTTCCACGGTGTAGACCTCTCTGCCCTGCGGGCGGCAGCAGTGGATGAGTATTTCCGCCAGCCAATTGTGGTACATAATCCAACACATACACACACACACACACAGATATTTTACACAATATCACAGTTGTGTGAAACAGGAGTTGTTGTGTTTCCTCCACAGGACACATTTGATATCCGTATCCTGATGGCCAAGTCAGTCAAATACACAGTCAACTTCCTGGAGGCCAAAGAAGAGGATCTTTACAGGTGTGTGTGTGTGTGTACTCTGTATGTGTACTGTATGTTTGTGTGGTGTGTCATTAACCTGCCTCTTTCTGCTCTCAGGATAGAGATTCCCTTTAAGTTCCACATGATGCACTCCGGTCTGGTGCACGGTCTGGCCTTCTGGTTTGACGTTGCGTTTGTGGGCTCATCGTAAGTCACAGTTCCACTCATGCTGCATGTGTGTTGAATAATTCCCCCCACTGACCTGCCCTCATGTCTGTGCAGGATGACGGTTTGGCTGTCCACGGCCCCCACAGAGCCCCTCACCCACTGGTACCAGGTGCGCTGTCTGCTGCAGTCCCCCCTCTTCACGAAGGCCGGAGACACGCTGTCCGGCACCGCCGTGCTGATGGCCAACAAGAGGTACGACACTAAACGCTATGTTCTCTAGCATGTTGGCCATATGGCCTGTAAATAATCTCTCAAAGTACTCATTGGCACATATAGAACAAGAGCTAACAAAACAAATCATTCAAAGTTATCTGAATCATTGCATTGATGAGTGTCGTGGTGTTGTTGTCCTGCCATATATAGACCTGCATGTCATATCCTGCCTCACAGCGCACATTTATTGTCAGTAAAGAGAGACCTAAACCAAACTTATCTAAATTAGCATGTTTTAAATCCAAGTGTAATTCACAAAATAAATAATTAAGTTGGTTTCATCTAAAGCAGGGGTGGGGAACCTTTTTCCTCTCAAGGGCCATTTCAATTTTTACAACATCCTCCGAGGGCCGTACAAATGATTGAACTCAACCTCTGCTTAAAAATACTAAAATCACAGCCCATTCATTTGGCCTTTCTTTCATGCTGTGCAAAGAAAAAGCAACCTCTTAATCCAGATATCTCACCATGACTCACGTGTGCGTGCACGGTGTGGCATGACCACCACAACAGAAAGATATGGACACAAGATGTGTGCAAATGTATTTAGTGTCCTGTTCATGTGGACATGATTTAAGTGTTGGGGGGGGGGGGGACCTCACCTCCTCTAGGGGGGTCCGGAGGGGCATGCTCCCCCGGGAAGATTTGTTTTAAATGTTGAAGTTAAAAGCATCAATCTGGTGCACTTTGAGAGCAACATTAGGAGATCTATGGATACATCTCTCAACACCCATATGAAACAGACCTGTAAGCATATTTTCTTTTTCTTTATGGATATTTTACAAATCACTCTCCTTTAAAACTGTATTCTTGTTTATTAATAACAACTTTTTTTTACTGTCATATAGTATTTATACCTATTTTTCATTTATTCTCTTATGTTTTTATAACTATAATGATCTCACTGAGCTGAGGTTATTTGAGCCTCTCAGTCTGTCAGGAGAGAGCTCTCTTCCACCTGGTTGTAGAAAAAGCTCCTTATATTCGTTAGCATAGCTAGCTAATCAGATGCTAATAACAACTTCAAACACTCGCTCGCTCAAACAAAATACGCTCGTGCCACCCACCCACACTCACTCACTCACTCACTCACTCACTCACACACACACAGTGTGTACGGCTCCTTATGCGTACTGCAATTTTTGAAGTGCCGGAGTGCTCCGTCAGCACTACACCCCTGTCAGACGATACATATACCACGCGATGACACGTTAGGCTCGTGTTGTGTTCAAGGAACCTGACCGTGGCCAGGAAAAACAGGCACTCGCTTGTTTAATTATTTTGCGGTCCAGATTTCTTAAATATATATTTTTTTGCATGTGTTTTATAAATTACCTCGCGGGCCGTATAAAATGGTCTCGTGGACCGGAGGTTCCCCACCCCTGATCTAAAGCATTTAAACAATATTCCAACCATACTAATCTTGTTAAAGTAAAATGGCTCTAACGATGAGTTTAAGGATGTTCTAAGCTTCTTCTTCAATTTGTATCCATAAACATTGAAGTTTGAGCTCCAGGCCTCACTGATGTACACAGCACCCCCCTCCTCTTTTCCAGTTATAATTTTGTTATTTCTAAGTAATCATGGATTCTCCGATACATTGGTAAAATTGGTTAGGAAAAGACTTGGGACATGAATACTATTGGAGCGCAGCTCGAATGGATGATGGATCCATGTTTCTCTGGAGGTTTTTTGTTGTCATGCATTGAAATAACTAGTATTATACTAATATGCTAACTTAATGTGATTGGATCCCTCTCCACAGACAAAGCTACGACATCAGTATTGTTGCCCAGGTGGACCAGACGGGATCAAAGTCCAGCAACCTCCTGGACTTGAAGAATCCCTTTTTCAGGTGAGGGGGTCTCCTGAGCTCAGAAACACTCCTGGATCTCAGCTCCATGAATCATGTGACAAGGGAGCGCTGTCCGTCTCGCCCATGTTAAACGTGTGTGTATGTATCTGCAGGTACACAGGCACTACCCCCAACCCCCCTCCCGGCTCACACTACACCTCCCCGTCTGAGAACATGTGGAACACGGGGGCCTACAGCATGGGGCAGGGCATGGCTGTATCAGGTGAACACACACAGACACTGCTGGAAGTCCATGTGTTCACAGGGGGCACAGCTTCACCGCTTCACGCTTATCGTGGAGAATAGTCTAGTTGCCAGCTCATATTCCTGTAGTGAACCTGGAAATATTGAGTTAAAAAATGGCTTGGCCGATTCGGACAGTTTTGGAGTGGTTTTGGCGGGTTATTGAGAATTCTTAGTCTATTTCTGGCCAAGAAAGTGGCCATTTTGGGTCCATTTTGAAGGTTTAGGAGGCTCTGGATCATTTGGATTGAACAAATTGCTTATTTATTTGAAAGATAATTGTCCATAGTAGAGGTAATCATTTCATTTTGTGCTCTCTATTTCCAATGCTTGCAACACTACTCATGGTAGACAAAATCAGCCCAGCCGGGAGTACAAATATGGCTTTCTGTTTAAAACGGCAATTGTTGATCCTGAAAATGTCAGAAATGGATATAGCATCCTCAATAACCCTCAAAACCACCTCAACATTTGCCAAATCGGCCAAGTCTTTGTTTTACTATTGTTTACATAGGCTATAATGCCATTCATTTGAATAAACGCAACTAATGCTTAGTGTGCAAATTGCATTTAGCATCCGGCAGTTTCTATGTTCTGGGGACCCGTACTATCATTTCTAACAGTAACCTTTGGGGTAGTCAACATTTCCATGTTCACTATGTTGGCAACCAGACTATAAGTGGATCATATTTGAATAGTAATACGCATTCAGCCCCGCTCATCGTTTTCAAAAGCGCACAACGAGATGCCATCACTGTGAGAACACTCCAGGACGCGTCTATCATGTTTCCAACCCAATTTCGATTTAACCACGCCCACTTCAGCATCTACGTAGCTCAGCGTGATTGCTTATGGACGTATACCGAGAACATGCTGTCCCCATGTTAACAACACTGAAGTATTATCACGTCTGCTCTAGATTGTGAATAAAAACTGATATGGGCCGCTAAATTTAATCAATTTAGTGTCAAGAGGAATATTTAATATTCTCTGACAGTGTTGGAAAGTAACAAATTACATATACTCAAATACTGTACTAATGTAAAATATGTGACAAACAAGGTAATAGGCTACAGATTGTTTATTCTTCTTAAATCCAGGGTGAATTAATATTAAAAGATGAATTTTTTTTTTAAAGCACTATTTTTGATCAATTTCCTTTGTAAAAGATGCTCTATGAAGCGACTGTAGATGACAAATTCATATTTCGTGGGATGAAAATCCAAGGCTGACACTGAGTCGATGCTTTCATAATGCAGCAGTGGGCGTGGTTAAATCTAAACTGGGTGGGAAAAAAGAATTGATGCCTTCAGGACTTAATATTCCGAGAATAAATAATATTTACAGTTTGTATAAGGGGCCGTACACATGCCGCCTTTTGCGCCCTCAAATCCACCGCACACACACTTATTTTTCAGCGCGACCTGGGCGCATAATTTTACTTTTCTAATGTTCTCTAAAGAACACACATCCCACAAAGACAGATGAAGGACGATTTAACATCAGGAAGTTACTATTATATTGGTCACTCAGTTATACAAGATCTATCACTTCGGGGTTCCCTCGTCTCAAAGTTAATGTTTTTTTTCACATGTTTTTGGTTAGAAGCCTGAAATAGGACCAGTGGTTTATACAAGCTGAAGAGATTTTCACATTTATCCTACGACATAAAAGATGTTGACAAATATACCACTGGTGAATGTCTGAAGCTTTTTTTTTGTCAAGGCAGTTGCAAACAAGTGACTGAATAGAACTAAACATCATCACACTTAACATTAGCTGCCTTTAGCTTAGCAGGGTTGTTGTGAAGTTATGCGACCATCATGTAGTTTGTTTATAGCCTAACTTTAGCTAGTTATTCTGGAGATTGTAATAACGCTTCAACTACATAAAAGTGGTGTTATATGTATGTGAGGACAATATATGTCCTCTTAAAGCACTAGCTTTAATGCGCCCCTGTGAGCGGACGTTTACTGACTCCTGTTTTGCTGATTCTGGCTGGAGGTAGTTTATTGACAATGGTTGCATAAACTTCAAAACGAGCCATAACCGTGCGCGTTATTGAGGCACTGCGGTACAGACGGAGCTCTGCAGTCATGCAAGCTTTCATTTCACAATTTGAATAACATATAAATGTACATGCCTGGAGTATGTCATTTTTTATAAAGCACTCAATTTTTTCAAGCTCAATAATAAATACAGATTATATTTGATGGACATTTCCCATTTGTTCGGTAAATTATTAGTTTTTTCTTATGGAAACACCGACTCGCTATAACTACAGAAAAGTACACAAACTCACTATAACTACAAAAAAGTGGGAATAATAGGCAGGCTACTAATACAAACATGGAGTTATTTAAAATCTCATGTTAGCTCACCCATAACTTTAATGTCAGGCGCCGTTTGTCTGCCTGTATGAAGATAAAAGATGTTGGATCTGAACCTTTGTTATCCAATGAAGCGCCAGCACAGTGCTGCTCAAGCAAAACATCCCCATCAGCTCTCTATTATTTCAGCGTCTGTCTCATTCTTCTTTATTTTCTTCTTTTTTATTATTGCCAGTTGCAACCATTATTAACGAGATAACATACTGCCACCTGCTGGACCGGAGAGTGTAGCACAAGATCTTGTCCCTAGACCTTTATTCATCTGTCTTTATCCTGTCCATGTCTTTGAACAACTTCTGTGAGTAAAGGGTGCACTGATACTGTTGTAGTGTGGTCACAGCTGTATGTCTACAGATAGTGTCTCGGCCAATCATTTTAAAGGACCAGACGTGCCTGTTTTATAATCTTGAATTAAATCCCAGAGTCCAACGATAGTTTAGCAAAAAGTTGACAGTCTCTGGATTGCAGGAATGTCAAACCTCATTTTATGTGGCCTGCGAGAGTTTGCAAAAACAAAATGTGCTCATCGAACAATTATATGCCGCTTTACATAAGTACAGTGTCCATAAACTACATGTCCCACGATGCATCTCGTTTTGTGACTATTGAAGCTTTTCAGGCGTTTTCTAGCAGCAGCACTCCAGCAGTGTGCTGCTACACAGCGCTTTTTAAATGATTACTTTAACAAAAAATCGTCTACACTGTAAAGCAAATATGTAATATTATAAAGAGTAGATATATTTCTTATAGTCTTGGAGTTACCACCAGCCCTTTGAGGGTAACCATCATTGAACTTGGAATTTGACTGCTATAGTCACTTTTATGTAAAAGCATACATTTTTACAAGAGTCTCAACATTTCATTTTTATAGGGTCTTAATACTTGAATATGTTATTTATGTCACTTCATGTTTTTAAATTGCGGCTACTCATTGTTAAGCCACAGTTGTGTACTTATTTGTCTTTTTATTGTATTACTAATGTGTTTTTTTTATTTTTTTATTATTGCATGCCTTTTTTACCTGCTATGCCACTTTAGCTGTAGCACTGTCATTTTGTGCGTTTGCTGTGGGACTTAAAAATAATTCTGATTCTGATGCTACTGTGGCCTGCCATGCAGTTGAGTTTGACCCCCCCTGCTCCAATATCATAATAAATCCACCTATTATGCAACAGCCATCATGTTTTGCGTGATGTTTGCCCTGAATCCCCCCTCCTCGTAGCTTCCCATGTGGCTGAGTTATACCGCTGTCTGTGAGGATGTGTCTGTATGAAGTGTTGATGGGTGTGTCTGTGTCTCCTCCAGGGATGCCTGCAGCTTATGACCTCAGCACAGTCATTGGCAGCGGCCCATCAGTGTCTCACAACAACCTCATCCCCCTGGGTACGAACCGCACTCCTCCTGACTTCTCTACATCTAATGGTACTTACAGCGGTGCGGAACACACGTCTCCAGTGAGCACTGTTCACACGGGGAGGGTCTCATCATATTCTCACTGTGCTCACATGTTGGGAGATGTTGTTTAGAGGGATTATTGAATGTGAAAAATGCGGTGTGTTACTAATCACAAAGCCTTTGTGGAGGATGGTGTCATCATTTGATGTCTATATTGTATACCTTATGCATGTCTTTTTATTACATATACTTCAAATCACAAACTTCCTTTAACTTTTACTGCCATATCATTACAGCTTACACCATCTTTAGTTTATACTTTTAATCTAGCACTGTTTTCTTTTAGGACTTCCCACTCAATGTAACACCTTCACTTTAACTGCTTTCAGAGCTTCGGTTCCAACTGAAATTAAAACTTTACCACACTAGGACCTAAGCATTGTCTAATGTCTCGGCTGTTAAGTGTTAGCAGGGGGCAAACTAGCATGTGAAAGTGTTTTTAACAAGTTTTCTGACAGTTATAAGAAATACGTTAGCATTTAGCACATTTGGGCTCCCCCGTCTTTAAGTCTGTCATTTTGAACATGTTTTTGGTTAGATGCCTGAAATAAGATATGTGTTTTATACAAGCTGAAGAGATGTTCACTTGTTTTATGACACAAAATGTTTATGAATACTCCACTGGTGAATTTTTGAAGCTTTACGTGTCTTAAAAAAGGTGGTTGCAAACCAGTGACTGAATAGGACTACAAAATTCATCGGGGCCAACATTCGCCGCCTTTAGCTTTGCGGTGGTAATGTGAAGTTATGCGACCACCATGTAGTTGGTTTATAGCCTAATGTGAGCTTTTTAATTCTGAAGATTGTAAGCTTCAACCATTACAAAAGTGGTGTTATATTTATGTGCGGACAATGTATGTCCTCCTAAACTTAACACTAAAGTATCATAAACCTGTGAACCAAAATCCAATGGAAAAATCTCTCAAAAAGCTTTTTTTTAATGGAAACAAGGACATGCCATCTTTGCGCCTTCCGCTCAGAACAGGAAGCTACATGCATAAATGTCTGTTTTGATCCTGCACACATCATTAATGTCTGCTTTCCTCTCCGATTGGTCACAGTGAACACCGGCATTGTAAACCACACCCACTCCAGGATGGGCTCCATCATGAGCACAGGTATTGTTCAGGGTACGTCTCCCTCGTCACTTTCTCAAAAACCCTTCATTCTTGTTTGCAACTTTATTTATCCTAAATTGGGAAACTATTTAGTCCCAGCAGCAGTGTTTTCAAGCATAACTTGAGTTAAAAATATTTAAAAGATAAAATAGGATACAGATCTATTAAAGGTATGGATATATCAAAACAATGAACATATGTATATTAACGTATATACAAATTCACAATATAAAGGACATGTATCACTAGAGTATCTAAATAATACACAATATAATGAAAATACTGAATAAATTGAGTACTGTACAATCTCACTAAGCTACAGGATTATCTATATAAATACTACAGACGCATATTGGCATCAGATTATATATACATAACAATTGTGCAAAGTAGCTGTTTTTGCAAATGGTTGGGAGTTATATAAAAAAAGGAGACCCTTTACAAGAGGGCACGTTTAATTAAATGCTTTCTTTGCCCCCCCCCCCCCCCCCCCCAGGAGCCACCACAGGCCAATCCGGTCCCAGCAGCAGCGGTTCGTACTACCCCGTCACCAACCAGTTCACCTTGGGGGGCGCCGCCATTTCCATGGCCTCCCCCATGGTCATCCCCAGCAACACCATGCATTATGGCAGTTAAGAACTCACCAAGACCTCTTCGACCCCCCCTCCCCCGCATGACAAGAGACCCCCGACCTCCCCCGGTGGAGACTGATGCAGCCAAAAGCAGTGCTGTGCTGGCACTGCACCCCCCCCCCCCCCTCCCAGTGTCGTCCTGCTCACTCTTCTGTGTTCAGTCCATCCCCATATGAGCGTATCCGTCCACACTGAGACCCTCCTCCCCCCCTCGTGGATCCACTGGGACTTGATTAGCTGAGATGCACAGCTCCTCCCTCTACGTGTTTCTCAGCCCCCCCCCCCCCTTTCTCGTTTTTTTTTATGTGTCATAATGAACCCCAAAGTGTTTCCTTTCCGGCTGCCTGATAGCAGCTGAGGCTTTCATGTGTACAGGACACTATTATCCTCTTAACACTCTTCTCTGGACGTTTCATATCTCATCCGGTCTTTTCTACGGAGACTCATGCAACACATATTTGCTCTGCGCTTTCAGATAATTTTGGTTTTAGGCAGATGTATCAAAAAAACTGAAGCCATCTACATGTGAAGGCACCCTAAGGAGTATGGGAAATATGCTTTCTTTGTGACTTGGACACCTTTTATATGTGTAGTTTTACTTAAAAGCAGCAGTGTTGATGGACATCAGGATTAGGAAGAATGGCACACCTTTAGCAGAGAGAAGTACACTGCGATCACTATTGTTAAAATATGGATTAGTGCAGCTTTAAATACCATCCTACACATACCCGCAATGTGGTTAGCCTAGCGTTATCTTAGACTAGAAGCAGGAAGAAACTCCCTTAAGTCAAAAACACACCTACCCTAGTTCTATTTTTAAATGTAAGACTAGTGAGCAGTCATAGTGGAACGGCTGGTTTGAGCACCGTCCAAAGTGAACTAACAGCCAGGAGACACTTTTTATCTTCTCGATAAGCCAAATCAGGAAATAGAGGGTTTGGAAGATGTATTTTAGACTGATATCTGTAGAAGAAATTAAAATATTAAGGCAGCATATTTCCTGAAACGCTGCTAAAGGTTTTAATGTAGTCACTGGGGTGGATTTAGAGCCTCAGGATGGTCACAAGTGTTCACACCTCCATCACCTGATCCCTCCAACATCTCCTGAAAAAACATTTTGTTAAGTTGTACACACAGTACAAGTTGTGGGAACGAGAGAGGAGTTCTACACGGAAGGTGACCAATGAGTCTTCTGAAGGTTTGTGTGCACCTGCTGCTTCCATCGCCCCCCCCCCCCCCCCCGCCAGAGCCCGATGCTCCAGCAGAAGGATTGTAAAGGGGGCAAAAGGACCCAGGCGGAATGAGAATAGCTGTGCTGGGTGGACGGCATCCTGCTTCTCCTCGGAATCTCCTGAGACTGTCGCAAAGAGACTTCAATGTGGTGGCGGGGGGGGCATGTGTGGGACAGGGCCAGTCCCCCCGCCTCCTTCCGGCTCACTATGTACAACCTCCAACATATCACCCCCACCCCCCGTCATCAGCCACGCAGAGAAGGACTGACACGTGTACGCACCGCTTCCAGTGTCACAACTATCGGACTTTGGAATTTACGAGTTAGCAAGTTTTAAGAAAGCTGAGAAAAAATGTCTCTTTGTAGGATTAACCTTTTTGTTATCTTTATTTTATTTTTTTCTTTCACAAAAAAAAACAAACGATATAAAAACAAAAAGAGCAAATTAAATGTGGTGGAGATGTTCCAAAACCATCCTGGAATCAAGTGTTGTAGTACTTTACTTTGTTATGTAGCATGCGACAGCTTAGCACTACTATCACGGAACAGTGTGGAGAAGAGTGTGTGTGTGTGTACTCAACCGCCAGTAATATGACCTTTGATCCAGACACAGTGCCTGCACTCAGTTTGCTCAAACTATATATAATAAGACATAGATAATGCAGTAACAAGCAAAAATCTGCAATAGATAAAGAACCACTAGTTACTGAGTAGAGCAGGAATTGGTCGTCAGGATTTAAGCACTTCCTGTTTGCTCGCTTAAGGGATTTTTAAGTTTTGTTTATACAGTCTATGGTTTTGTCCAATCCCACTGGTGAATGGCAGAAGCGCTATGTCTTAAATGCCGGTCGTGTGTATGACTACAAACTTAATTAGCCGCCTTTAACTAAGCGACATGAAGTCATGTGACCGTGATGTAGCTTGTTTATAGCCTGACGCTAACTTGTGCATTTATGCTTCAACTATTATTAAAAAGGTTATTATGTGGGTTATCCAGTTGAAAAAAACTTGATAAGAGTTATAAACATAAAATATCTTATTTTCTGCAACATTCTAAAATCCAGTGGAAAAATCACATTGGCTTTTTGTGGAGGGAACCAGGGAGATGCTAACTTCAGGTTCGGACTACAGAAATGTGTTATTACTGCACCAAGCAGGGGATCAGCATGAAAACGTTTCCTGTGCTAAGTGTAGTTCAAGCACTTTTATATTCTATTCAGAAAGAAAATGAGACGGTGAGAACACCAGTGTCTCCTCTTCACTGCAGGAGCGTAGCGTGGCCCCCACCACAGGTAGTGCTTCTCTTTCTCCTGAAGGTGGTGCTTAGGAAGTGAAACAAAATGATTCTCAGGTAGGTCAGGGGTGCTGGCAGTGCGGTCAAACATTCAATGTCTACACGGAACCAATGAATGAAGGCCACACGCCATGTCTGTTAAGTTGATCTGTACAAAGGTGATGAGTTGTTTCTTCACACATATTCCTTCTTCACCTCTGGAGTAAAGTTGTGCTGGACATCTTTACTCTACTTCTACAGTGCCGAGGATCACGGCTGTCCAAGCCCGACTACACCAAACACAACAGGAACTAGACGAGTCTACAGCCTCTTGAGTATTTATTCCAAATCCTTGATATCAGACCGCAGTTTCTACCACTAGTTGTAAGCCAAACTGCTCGCTAGTTAACTAATAGTAGAGTGTTTTCACGTTACCGGTTTACTAGTTTAACACACACTCAAAAAGTTAAATAGTTAAGGCAAACATCTTTACTAGTCTAAGCATGTTCGGTCCGTGTACGTTTTGTCAGTTTGATTTTTCGTTTAAGCCAAAAAACGAAAATACCAGCCTTTTTTCGTTTTTGATTTGTCTGAATCAAAAGACGGATAACGACAAAACCTAATAAAAAAAAAAGTCCGTACGTTCCAAAAAACGAAAAAACGGACAACCAAAGCCGTTTTTCTGTTTATGTTGTCTGAATAAAAAAAAAACGGATAACAAGACCTAATTGAAAAAACGGTCCAATTTTGGTTTTTGATAACAACTTCATTCAATTTTCCGTTTTGTATTGAAGAATGAAGAAAAGCAGTCCGGTGGACCGGAAGTTAAAGAACATATTTCAAAATAAAAGACACGAGGATATAATGGCAATGCTGTAAAAGTTCAATCCTGGAACCCAGAAGTCTGACGAGGATACGTTTATTTCTTCATTCACATCCAGATATGCGTTTATAGAGAATACAAGTATGCAAGCTCTTTGCATAACTTTATTTCGCTGACTTCCGGTTTGTACTGTGTCGGCAAATCCAGTGTCCAGCTTGTCGCTGTGTGACAACCATAGACTGGTGACAACGTCATGTTTGTTGCATACCTGCAAGATTTACCTGTGACAAATGTCAGCGATGTGAACAGAACTGTCGCCCTACTTTCACCTGCACCCAGCAGCAAGCGGGAGAACAATTTCTCATACAGTCGACCCCTAAAACAGTTCACACAGTAATGGAACAGTTCTTAAGCATGATTTTGTCCAACTAGTCTACATTATGAATTTGATGTTTGTCTAAACTGCTAAGAAGCGGACAGCTGAGTTAGAACAGAAAGACATGCAGGCCATAATCACTAGACGCTCAAAAGAGGAATGTGTGTGTAAGGCTTACATGAACTGAATTGAAACACTGTCCATTAGTTGATTAATAAACAAGACATTCAAGTCAAAGTTTTAGGCATTTTCATTTGTAGCACGCTGTAAATATGGACTATGAATAAACACATGCAATGTGTAAACACACAAATAGGTTTATTCTCAATACTCATAACAGTATCAGACACAATGACTTTACTGAGAGTGAAGAAGATTTACCTGTGACAAATGTCAGCGATGTAAACAGAAATGTCGACCTACTTTCACCTGCACCCAGCATCAAGCGGGAGAAATGTTTCAAGTTGTAGCCTACTTTTAGGAGGGTAAGCTTTTATTTCTGTAACGTTAAACTTGTTTTTCTTCAACAAGTTTGACTACATTGAAAGACAGAGGAGGGACAGTATGTGCATTCTTAATGAACATACTTTGTATTTTTGTATGTGTCAGGGTGTTATGCTACAGGTCCATGAAGACAGGCCCCACAGTGAGTTCAGGATGAAGTGTTGTTACTGTCTTATTACCGTCTGGTTAAACATGTTCCTGGGAATTCGGCTCATTTTAGACAGGTTAGACACAGCCAATAGTAAGACATAAACTTACTACATAAGCATAGTGCGTAAAAGTTACCAAAGCTCTGCTGACTCAATAACTGCAGAGTTCCAGCTCTGGCATTAATATCAGCACCAAAACATGTGCGCCGGGAGCTTCATGGCATTTTGGACAATTCTATGCTTCCAACTTTAGTGGAAACAGTTTGGGGAAGGCCCTGTTCTGTGCACTAAGCAAGGTCCATAAAGGCCTGGTTGGATGAGTTTGGTGTGGAAGAACTTGACTGGATCGCACAGAGCCCTGGCCCCCACCCCATTGAACACCTTTGGGATGAATTAGAATGGAGAGCCAGGCCCTCTCGTCCAACATCAGTGTCTGACCTCACTAATGCTCTTCTGGATGAAGGGGCAAAAATTCCCACAGACACACTCCAAAATCTTGCAGAAAGCCTTCCCAGAAGAGTGGAAGCTGTTATAGCTGCAAAGGGGGGACCAACTTCATATTAATGCCTAATAATTTACAGGGGCAATGGAAAGATGTGGGCTAAAAAGACCAAACACACACACCACCCAGCCTAATGTATTGTTTGGTCCAAATCACTGATAAAATAATTATTTTTAACAAAATTATTATTATAGTATGTTTTTTTTATCATTGTTATCACACTTGTGCAAACTTGATGTATTAATACAAAAACAGTTTTAGTTCCTACATTTTGAAAGGTTGATTGAAAATAATGATGTGTGGTGATCCAAAACAAGATATGTAATGAATACTTGGAATATTAAATGATTAAATAAATAGATTTCCAAAAATATAGCTAAGAAACACTCAACCATGCATCAAATAACATTGTAAGTCAATACGGGTCAATATTTTGTACCCATGCTGTCCCTTAGAAGGGGTATGCATAGCTTGTGTATCAAAGGGTTAAAAAAGGCCTCAAAACCCATCTGTTCAATAGAGCCTTTTCCTAGACCTTTTATTTGATTTATTACTACCCTTTTATTTATTTTTTATTGCTTGTTTTTACTGCTTTTTATTAAATTCTACCGTGTTGTGTACTGTTTTATATTGTTCCATGCTCACTGCTTGCAGCACTTCGGGATTTGAACTTAAATATGAAGTGCGTTATAAATGAAACCCATTATTATTATTATTGGCTGTGTCTAACCTGTCTAAAATGAGCTGAATCCCCAGGAACATGTTTAACCAGACGGTAACTAAGACAGTAACAACACTTCATCCTGAACTCACTGTGGGGCCTGTCTTCATGGACCTGTAGCATAACACCAGGGCCGTCCCTGGCCAACTTGAGGCCCCACGCTACCTCTGATCCACACTAATTGCGCCGCATAAACGCATAGGTGCGCCGCATCTCAGTTGAGGCCCCCTCCGCAAGATGAGGCCCCCTCCGCGAGGTGAGGCCCCCTCCACAAGATGAGGCCCCCTCCGCGAGGTGAGGCCCCACGCAGTCTTCGTGATCTTCCTGTAGGGAGGGATGTCCCTGCATAACACCCTGACACATACAAAATACAAAGTATGTTCATTAAGAATGCACATACTGTCCCTCTGTCTTTCAATGTAGTCAAACTTGTTGAAGAAAAACAATAAGTTTAACGTTACAGAAATAAAAGCTTACCCTCCTAATTGTAGACGTAACTTCATAAGTACAACTTGAAACATTTCTCCCGCTTGCTGCTGGGTGCAGGTGAAAGTAGGTCGACATTTCTGTTTACATCGCTGACATTTGTCACAGGTAAATCTTGTAGGTATCGTAACACTCTTATTTACATTTGACATGTTATTCAAAACCGACAGCCTGTGTGTTGTTTGCTAAACACTGCCATTGAAATACCACACTCAATTATCAAACCCCTGCCCCCAGAATGCACATGTTAAAAGCCATGCAACCAATTAGATCACTTAGAAACCTGAGCTTGAACACTTTGTTGTGCACAACAATGGAGGCCACTTTTGGAGAGAGAGTTAGAGGAAGAGGTAAATGCAATATACTGTATTTTGTCTTCAGTACCATACTGTAACTATGTTCATGTCATCTTCACTCTCAGTAAAGTCATTGTGTCTGATACTGTTATGAGTATTGAGAATAAACCTATTTGTGTGTTTCCACATTGCATGTGTTGATTCATAGTCCATATTTACAGCGTGCTAAAAATGAAAATGCCTAAAACTTTGACTTGAATTTCTTGTTTATTAATCAACTAATGGACAGTGTTTCAATTCAGTTCATGTAAGCCTTACACACACATTCCTCTTTTGCACGTCTAGCAGTGATTATG